TCCTGATTAAGAATTGGGTAACAGAAGGAAGTAGGCCGTTACAGACCTGCCTGGTGACTTAAAAATCATCATCTTATCATGACTACAGATTTACAGTCCTATTTACAATATGGCCTGGATTCGAAATCGTATGTCCTGTTTTTGAAAAGCATTCTTGCACCGGCCAGAAAAAAAAAATAATTAAAAGAAAATTATAGCTATTACTGAGTGTTTTTAGTAGTTCCATGCTTTTGAAGTGATATTCTAGATAATCAATAGATAAATAAAAAAAAAATGCCAGGCCATATAGAACAGTATTACTATTTAAAATATATAAATATAAAACTAATGAAACATTTATGCAGTCCTTAATTATGCCCAGAATCGGCTATGGTGATGTGTTATTTTGATTTGAATGCAGACCTCCTCAACAAACTAGATCGCCTTCTCAATAACTGCATTCGATTCGTATTTAATCTTTGCAAGTATGACCATGTGTCTGATTTACGTTCCTAGCTGCAATCTTTTTTCCTTCCTCAACTCACCATCGGTACCTAAATACCTCGTTCCCCATTTCGTTTATTATGCTCCAATCACGATCGAAACTTTCGATCAACAAACAATATGCTTCTTTCATTTCAATGTGAGAGGGGTCTCACACTTTCAACTTTATTAATTCTTCCTTTCATGTGCAGTGTCAGTTCTTCTCTGGAATGCACTCCCTGCCGAAATCAGGATGTATATTTTTATATAATATTATAGGAGGATGACCATGAATGTATGGACCACGTTACCGTATTGCGCAAACTGCCTAAGTTGTTTAAGAAGGTTCATATAATAACCAAATATCATTTACAATTTCCATTTTATAAAAAACATGGAGGGTTTTTGAGAAAACGTAACATAACCTACAAAATGGTCAATGTGTAGGTAATCAAATGAGTTGGCAGAAAAGTCACGACTGGCAGAGAATGTCCTGGGCATTATCTAAGTTATTATAAATAAAAAATAAAAAACAAAATAAGCTCATAGCTAGTTAGGTAATCATAACCGATGCCAAAGAGACTGAATAAAATCATCACTTTTCTTAACATTTTCCGTGAAAACAGTTAAAAAACAAAAAAAAGAAACAGAAAACAAAAAACAATCTGGATATTATCGAAATTCTTTAATTGTGCGAGAAATCAAGTAACAGGTCCTTCTCTTATGTATATGAAAGTTATAAGATGTGGTTACCTTTGTATGAGCTATCCATGACTGATGAGCTATCCATGACTGATGAGCTATACATTGATCACTGAATTAGTCGCTAGTTCTAAGGAGGATCCACGTCAGTTTCTTGGGATCGCAAGTATGTTCTTGTAGGTTACTCACGTGAAGTAGTCGACATTTTCGGTCAATTATTTGTAAAACAAAGAAAGAATCACACACACTTACACTTTAATGTAAGAATTGTCGTTACTCGTAAATATATACAAAGAAAACGTCCTGGCGTTTCACAAAGTTAGTGTTGGTGATTGAAAACAAGAACATAAATTAATTATTACTTAAATTAATGATTATCACAAATCCGGTAGATAGAATGGACTCGATCAACACGAAAACTGCACTATTTGTCTGTAAAGTAATTAAAAGCCGATGTTAGCATTGTACACAAACACATACGCGCCATTGACAGAGAAGTAGCCAATGTTGTCACCTCGGATTTTGATCGAGTAATCGATTATTTTGACAAACACACTCGGTATTTAAATTAACTTCAAGGATTTTATTTATTTTCTTAAATTTTTATTAGCAAGTTTTTGATCTTAATCAAACCGTAGTAAAATAACATGTAAATGAAAAATATTAAGTACAACAAAATTAAATCATTTTTGAAAGTAAGTATAGATAACCAGATGATGCGTGCAATAATTAGGTCCTTATTAAGTCATGTACTTTTTTTTTGGAAGAGGTGGCAAACGAGCAGACGGGTCACCTGATGGAAAGTGACTACCGCCGCCCATGAACGCCTGCAACTCGGAGGCACAATCGCGTTGCCGGCGTTTTAGGCATGAGTAAGCTTCTTTCTTGAAGGTCGTATCAAAAAGTGGCTTGATGATGGATGTGTGATGTAAAAAACTAAGGAAATCAACTAGCTTCTTTATAAATCTATCGATACATCCATTTGTAAACGATAAAAAAAATCTAACTTATTTTTTATTTTGGGTATGGCAATAATTTGCACAGATTTTGCAGGCAAAATATAATAATATAACAGCAAAATTTATATATTAAGCAACTATATCTTATTAGTTTGAAAAAGAAAATCCCCATGAAAATCTATCATTCTGATGGGAGTGACTTCAAAAATAAATAAAATAATTTTGATATTATTTTTATCTCCGGCCGGTAGGAAAACCATTACCACAAATGGTCATTTGCCTTTATGTATGTGTATTATTTAGTGTGTATGTATTGTGTATACTTCTGGTCTTCTATGTAAGTAAAATAATTTATGTAGTAATGTATTTATGTTTACTAGTCATATCTAATGTAGGTTTATCTCACATTTACCAAACTACTATGAACTACCATAAATTTAAGACTTTATCTTTGCACCTACCTCATCATATTTCTACACTACTCGAAGGTGGTGGTGAAAAAGAAAACAAGGGTGAGAATGCCTCATGGCATTAAGTCCGCCTTTGTACAACATGTGCATTAAGTTCTACATAAAGAAATATATTAATATTTGCTTTGTACTGTCATTTAATTTATGGGCTCAAAGTGTATTGTCGCGTAAAGTATGAATAACTTACTTCAGAGTTTTGATTTTGTTCACATAATTATTGTAAAATTAAGAAAAGTAAAGCCACCATGATCTATACTAATAACTGTTCTACATTATTCATAAAGTTTGATATTATTCACAGAATAATAGCAAACATTTTATGTAAAAACCATGGCTGAAATGTGACAAAAAAAATACACATTTATTGATATGTATAATGTCCTGTGCCATACGATACTTTTTTGTTTACGGTAGTATCAGTTTATAGGAAGGATGGCCTTCTATCGTTGAGGACTAACATTTTGTCACTGGCTATGTAACGTTCACTCCACCTTGTGTCATGTTCCTCATTGCTGAAGTCCTTCAACCTTAATGAAAACGTCTAAAATACATTGAAGATTTGCAAGTTGTCACACTTTACTTTTCGTGATCCAACCTATCAACTTACTTTTACCAGCATACTCATATATATCATACGTAATTTAATTTATTTCGAAAGGTTACCCCAAAAGGCGCATTAATTTAGTACATGACAAAACACCGCAAGCCAAGTCATCAATGTAGTTACGTGCCGTTTTGTTGAATGATTGTCTGCTGTGATACTGTTGTAGAGTTTATAACAGTTTTAATTAATGAGTTTAAAAGACGGTGTGTTTGGTTATGAGCTGTTGGCCCTCCTTCTTTAAATCTTTTGGTTTCATTGGTCTAGTTGGGCTTAGTATATTTGGGTGGACATATTTAGATGTGTAATGGAAAGATGTGTATTCGAGTAGAGAAGTTTAATGAGTTTGACTGCTAACAGATATTGTAGGAAAGAGATTTAGACAATATCCACAAGATGAGACCAACTCCCATGCACAATCAATCCGTATTTCTAAACAACAGTTATGTTCATAATAGTTCGAAAATGTGAGTACTATCCTGAAGTAAAATGTTTAAAAACAGCCTGCCTTCAATTTTTTACTAATTTTTTTTTTTGTTACCTTCTGTCAAATAATTAACTAGTTAGCTATCGCCGCATATATGTACCTATACAAATTATTTATTTATTTTTATGCACTCTTTGTTTGTCACTTTATATGTTTGAAGTGACGACCTTGGCATTCTGTTTTATATTCATCAACGTTAGACTATTTTTACGAGACATTGGTCGGATGTGAGTCGAGCCGGGACGACCCCATTACCGTGGCGCTACACTCATTAAAGGTCGCTGTAAACAAATAAATGTATATACATAGGTGGGCTCGTATGGCACAAAGTTGTTATCTATGATTCACCGGCGCCTCGCTGTCTGCCCTCCGTCTGATCGTACCGACATTATATAATGGCCCGATAATAGGCCACTGATGAGATTAAACTGAAGACCCTCGCACGTGTTTATCTTTATTTATACGTACTAAAACATTCTAAAGGGCGCTACCGCGCATCTAAGGACTCGTCCGCACAGCGACATTTCAAATAAATCGCCACCGTATAGCGTTCAATTTGCATTAAATCACAAATTTTTCTTTCGCTCTACATTTTTTCCCATTTGTCACAAAATTTTGCGGGCCCGAATACTGGGAAATTTTATAAAGAGGCGATCGCTTAGTTTTGGTTATCGATATACCTGCAGTAAGCACTAAGTGTGTACCGGGCTGTAAGCATTAAGTATGTACCAGGCTGTAAGTCAGGCTCTCTCACGTAACACTAACATAACCAAGTCCAAATCGACCTACATAAAAGCTGCAATACCACTTTCGTCGTCGCAAATCACTGCGGCTCGTATCTCGGCCTCGGTCAATGCGTTGCGTGCATGTCGTATGCACATATACGGATGCTATAAAGTGCAGCAAGAATTCGCAGACTAGCGGCGCATGCTGCTCACGTGCAAACTGAAATCGAAAGTGATTGGATGTGTCTCTCCGCCCTCGATTGATGATTCGGTTGGCTTGGGCGAGCTCTCGTTAACGGTATTATTCAAATTGTATGTGCGAGTCCCGCAGGCCACCACGATCGATCACGAAACCGATACAGCCTGTTGTTTGTTCCCTGCACACACGTATACTATTTCATTGATGCATTTAAAATTACGTCTATTCATTTCTACTATATGTATTGTCAATTCTTTTTAGTGTTTTGAGTTTGAGCAGTTAAAAAGTCCAAATAGAGATTAAGGTGTTTCCCAAAGTTACGCTTATGTTATGCTGTACAAGAGGAATTTATTCTTGAGCATCCATCTTCATTAATTATTATTTTTCTTTTACAGGCACGCAGAACGTAGCGATGCCGCCGCGAACGTCGTCGTCTTTATCGGACGGCAGCGGGCCGACGGCGCGTCCCGGTGCGGGCGGGGCGCCCGGGGCGCCGACTCCTGGAGCCGGCCCGCCACCTGGCGCTATGGTAGCTCAACCATACGCGCATCATCCAGCTTACAAAGCACCACATTACCCACCACCGCCACAACCCTATGGCTACCCGCCTAGGAACCATCATCCGTATCCATATGGATATCGTCCACCGCCCCCACCACATCCACCGCAGCATTACCCGCCACTTAAGGTACGTTATTCACAGATTAATAGTATATACAGAAAGCAAATACTCTTACTTTCTGACAAATAATTCATTAGAAATTCAGAGTGAATTATTGACTTGACTTTGTCATAACTAATCAAGTCATTAGCTCTTTTTTCAATTTACACATTATATTTAAAAACGATAATGCGTGTATTTTTATTATAAGTGTCTTAAGGCATAGCATTCCAAATAGATTACTGTTCCTAAAAGTTTTTAATTTAACAAAGTGGACTTTATAAAGGATCCTACTTACTTGAATAATACTTGCGATGAAATAATACAATTAATTTGGCCCTTTTTGGATTTTAACTTTAACTTGAGAGTTCATTCTTGAGGTCGTGTGTATAGCAATCGAGTACATAATAAATTCAAAATAGAAGTAGAAATAAAAATCAAAATCTATTCAGTAGTAAAGCTAGAAGAAATAAAATATATTGTAAAGGTGGTACGTGTTGACAATGGATGTTGTTGTGTAATACTAAATTTGCGTTTGTGATATTTCAGCAGCAACCCCGCCACATGGGTCCGCCAGGCCCAGGTGGACCGGGTGGTCCTGGTGCGCCTGAAGGTGCTATGCCGCCACCAACCGCACCTGCGGAACCACATGATAACGGGCCTGCGGCACCCGCGACTGCACTTGTAACCACTGGACCTGATGGAGCGGCGTTAGATGAAGGCAGCCAACAAAGCACGCTCAGTAATGCTTCGGCGGGTGTGTACCACCTTTTTCTTGATACAAAGCTTAAAAACGATTACTCAAGTCATAACGATAAATTTATTTCTAGCGTGATATGCTGGTTATTGACAGTATTAAACATTATAAACTGACTACCACAACGGGTAAATGGGACTGATTTAGTAATGTTCTAAGATGTATCGTTACCATGTAGGTCAGTAACTGCTTGCTTACTGCGTACTGCGGACTCAGCAGTTCCTAATCACAAGCAAGGAAAATCTAGTTATACTCGAACTTTTTATGCTGCAATACGTTAGTAGATGTACGCGTTTAAACATCATTTTATAATGGAGTTTATGCTTTTTAATTTTGAAAGTAGTAAACGTAGATATAACGAGAGAATAATAAATGCATTCTGAACATTTCCGACACTAGTATGCTGCCCTTGATCTTTCTAGATCATAGATCTTGACATCTATCAGTAAAAGTAAACGCTAATTGTGGAAGACAATTTTAAATAGACAATTTTTCAAAACTAGTATGTACGAGGCTATAAAGGTACATAGAAATTCATAGATAGGGTATGTAAATGTAACCTCATACTAGTTTTGAAAACGGGCTTGCTTAAATAGTCAACCATAATTATTGTCCAAATATTAACCCTCCGCCTTTTTTTATAATTATCTCTGTCAAGTGACTCAATCAAATTTGTAATATTTTGTTACAGCATCCGGCGAAGAAGCGTGCGGCGGGGGCTCGGGTTCGAGCAAGGGCGGTTCCCGCAAGGAGTACGGCGCAGGCAGCGCAGCGCCCTCTCCCTCGCCTGGCGGCGGTTCGCATTCCTCACTACACGATGACTACGACGCGTCGCCCTCCTCGTGGCCGCGTCCGCCTTCTAGTCCCGTGAGTCTCGTCACCGAACCCTATCGCGCAGACCTTCCCACTAGTGTCCACCACACTAAAGGCCTGCAAAGGATTTTCACATGATATTCTGTGCAGTGCATGAACAGTGATCGTACCAATGATTGTATTCAAGTCACCAGTAGTGCTGTAACTTTTAGGCATTATTTATGTTTATTGAGTTTAGTACGTAGTTTCTTATTTACATAAGTAGACTTGACGATGCTAACTTGTTTTAGTGTGTTGGATACTTTGAATTATACTGTTCTCTTAGCTGTGTCCATCATTCGTTTCTAGTTGAGTCCGATTTCCATTCCTAAACCCTGATATTATTCTCTATATGAGACTGGACTAATTTTTTAGAATAGAATATGATGAAATATTTTCATTACATTTATAACCTTACCAAACGTGATTATTTAATATCAACACTGACCACTATGAGAACAAACATTTAAGTAGTTACAGTTACATTTATAAATGATCTTCTCTTTTCTGTAATAATTTTGTTTTTGATTATCGCATTTAAGTGGAATCTATAACATATGACTTCTTGGGGGTGTCGATCATACCAGATATATATAAAGTGATACACAAAGATTATAGATTTTGTGTGACCGATGCCCCCTCATTTTTGTTTCGATTTAATTAAATATCTCATCATGGTCTATTTAAGTTTTTGTAAAAGGTTTAATCATACATTTCGATTGTCTTGTTTTCTCATCTTAAATACTGTGTGAGCGAAAGGGAGGCATTGCATTTTATCATGTATTTCAGGTATTTAACAGTCACATACCGCCGGAGTCCTACAGATCAAAGGTTTATATCAAGTTAAAGATCATTAGCATGTGTAGTGCTCGATATGATTAATATTTTTCCTAAATAACGTGTTACAAATTGCATGTTAGTCGAACTTTATCTGCATAATACAAAATGCATTGCCTTTTAATGCATAAAAATAATTTCACTGCATTTGTGTACACACTTGTTTTTACTTAAAGTTACGACTTCCAAAACCAACTTTTACAGCTTAGTGCTTGAGAAACATTCAGTTATTTACTCTTATTTGCTTCCTGCTACATTTCTTTTCTTTATGGTTGTGGAAATGTTTCCTCGGAACAATTCAAAAACTTTTCGACTTAAACTGAAGAATATTATTATTTCTTTGTTATATCAAATGTTTTAGCTGATGACTAATAATTTTTAGGTTACAATCTGAATGTTTATATAGCCTTTTTTCATGTAGTGTCTTGTATCATTGAAGGTGCGTGTATGATTATTTAGATTGTGTATATTAGCGACGTTTTATATACATAGAGCATGATATTTGATGCCTGTTTGTAATGAAATTCTATATGCACTGTGCATCAATTGCATGAAAACACTCGAAGTCCCCGTTTCGTATACTGTGTTCGAGCTTTTATTCTGTAGTTGATTGAAATGGGTTTGTATTGGAATGTAATATCGCTAAAACTCCTTATGTTATAAATAAATATACATATTATCTTTAAACAATAAATATTTGTTCAATAAGTTTTGTAAGTACATAATGAATACATAAGGAGTTTTTACAGAAGGAACGGGGCTGACGAAAGTAGTTTGGATATGGAACGATACAGGTTTATTATATTAGTGGAAATTTTTATTCTAGGCTGAAAATTCAAGGCGACGAATAGGCGAGTCTTCGTCAGGCCCGGTAACACACAATACTCTCAGTCTAAATGCTTGTGAATATGTATATGCTCACATCACATAATATTTAATCTACTATAAAACAATTAATATAGAGAAATTTGCTAGAAATAAATTTAAAACTAAGCATCCGTTTTGAGGCTAAGGCTTTTGATATTATGTCTTATAATGTAGTGTAAATATTTTAGGATAGAAATGAGTGCTTAGTTTTCTTATGACAATGTTGGCTTGTGACGATTAAACTGTGCGACATTTACATAGTCAATGCTGGTTACTCAGAAAAGCTGATATACCTAGTAGACATATTATTACTTATTAAAAGAAAAACAAATGACCTTTTTCTTAGTTGTTACTTTAATCGATTTAATTGTATAAAATGCAAAAATCATCCACAATGGTGGAGTCTATTATCTCTAGCTTTATAAACATAAATATTGATAATGTCGACGTCGCACGGTGAAAGTCTCTAGCCGACATGATTTGGGTGTGTGATGGGATTTGTCTGTGCCAGAAGTCGGACTCGTTGGGCAAGCTGTACGAAATGGACGACGCCCCTGAGCGGCGGGGCTGGGTGGAGCGGCTGCTTGCTTTCATGGAAGAACGGCGGACCCCTATCGCCGCTTGCCCCACCATATCCAAGCAACCGCTGGACTTGTACAGACTGTATCTATTGGTGCGCGACCGTGGAGGCTTCGTCGAGGTAAGGAAATATATCTAATAGGCTGTGCAGAAGGATTGTCATTATCAAAGCTTCGAGCGTTACTAGTTCGAACTCGACATCAGGCAACTATGCGTCATTATTTGTATTCTGGATCTGTTAATTGTGTATGGAATACGTATTATAAAAAGTAAACAAGGTTCTTGTCTGCAAAATTTAATTGTCAGTTAAAGTGTCAAAATTTAAGTGTCACGGACATAATTGTTAGTAAAAAGCGTAGTTTTCTTCAGATTGACGTTCTTTGTTTATTTCGAGATGAACACAAACTTTGCAAAACGTGTGAAGCACACGACTTGAAGCATGGGTAGTAAAAAAGAAACCAGCGCATGTTTAGGCTGATCACCGCAAGCTCCGATCTAAACATTAAGCACACACTTTGCCAAATTGCGTGTTCGACGACCACGCGTATGTACTTACGCACTGTTCGCACTGAGCGTAGAACGTTTGAGGACACACGCTGCCTCGCCTCACAAGAACGTAGCGCATGCCTCGTTAAAAAATATGAAGTAGACGCGGTGTAAAACATGTGCCTCGCACTTGATGCGCTGCGAGCCTGCCACTGTATAATGTATCCATCCGCCTTTGAGAATAATTATGTCCATTTGTTATGTATCGTTTTATGAACGCAACGATATAATTTATTAGTTTTTAAACTACTTAGACAATAAATCACATTTACCAAAAGTATAGCAAAGTACATTGACTAATCATGTGTAGTAATGTACGTGTATAGGAAATAATATTGTAGTTCTAGTATAATGGCATTATTAAATAATATGTTTATATGTTTGGTATTGTACAATAGGGTTCAATAAACAAATAAATGATGTATAGTCATTATAGTACCTCCCATACATCCACCTATCACATAGTGAAACGCTTATCGGTAAAATTATTATTAATTATTCCCACTTATTTTTTTTTACAATTTAAGTGTTCTTTTGCTATTAATAACTAAACTTAACTGTAAAAATATGTTGTACTGACTGTGATGGTACAACTTGATGGTATACTTTTTTTATTTGATTTGCAAAACTTCAAAATACACCAGAGCAGTTCAGTGTCATTTAGGGGGTTGTAAGTAAAATATTAAGTGAAGAAAGTAATTTCATTAGGATTCAGTACATCGTAAATAAACATTTATTTTATGAATGTTGTGTTACAAATAGTTCGAGTTGTAATTCCGGGACAACCTCTGATTTCCCGGCCATCGGGCAACTTTAGTAATGTTTCACGTCTTAGTGCCGACCAGCTCGTATTACGTACAGCTTTTCCTATATTACTCAAACTTACTATATTCATAAATTTGCCGTTTATACTACAAATTACGTTCCATTGTGCCAACCGCTCTAAAAGTCAAGCAAATAAATGTATAGAGGACGAACGGTGTGTGTAATTCCATCGGTTTTACAGTTTTAAACGCTAACATTTGTAAACATTCGTATTCTCAAGTATCACTCTAGCGTTGCTAGTAAAACGACGATGCAACTGAGACTAATAGACTTCAGCCAGGATTTATGTTGGTGCATGTACCGCGCACTTTATGTGAATAGACGCCGTAAACCCGCTGGGCCTTTAACGATAGTTAATAAATTTTTATCATTGAATGGTTATGCGAGTCCAGCGCTGTCCACTCACACGCTCGCGCCAGGCCGCGCCGGCCGGTCGTCTCTCGCAGGAAAATCTCAGCATTGAAAAACCGGTGACATGGTCAGGTTTCCAGTCGTTAACACGCGCGAGTTATCGCATTTTCCAATGAGCACTAAACCTTCACACTTTATGTTCTAGTTAACTGTCGCCTCGTGTCCATTTGTTTACTTTTAAACTGCAAAGTGACTTCGTTTCGTACTTCGTCGTACTTATTATTGCAAATATTCATAGGTGACGAAGAATAAAACGTGGAAGGACATTGCGGGCCTGCTGGGCATCGGCGCGTCATCGTCCGCCGCCTATACGCTACGCAAGCATTATACGAAAAATCTTTTAGCGTACGAATGCCACTTCGACCGCGGTGGCATCGACCCGCAGCCTATCATCAACCAAGTTGAGGCGTCTACTAAGAAGAAAGGTGGCAAATCGAATAGTACGTCTAGTGCAGGTGAGTTCACATATAAGTTGTTTTTACTGTTTATGGGCCTGTTAAAATTGAAATAAACCTTAATAAATCTAACGTATTTTTAAAGGTACAAGAGTGCAAAGAAATCTTGCGATAAATAAATAAATCGATATTAGTCTAATATCAAGTAAATACTACAATATAAATATATAATATACGATTAATAAATAGTTTTTTAAGACTAAATATTTAAAAGATTTAGTTTGAAAAAACATTTTCTAGATAAAGGTTTGGGTAATATTTGTACTTTTTACTTAAATATATGTCACAGTCTGATATTTTTCTGTATACTATCCTTCGATATCGGCCTTCGCCGAGTGCAGAATTTTTATATCTTTTATTGAACACCGTTGCTAACGTTTATATTTCCTCAGGTTCATCAAATTCCCAAGAAGCATTCCCGGGCGGCGGCGGCGGGGGTAGTAACGCTGGCGGTGCCCCCATGGACGGCTATGGTGGCCAGTACACTGGATACCCACCGCAACCAAATCATTCGCAAGGTACATACTGTCCGTAATTCATAAAATGATATGATTGACGTTTCCCAGTTAACTGTTTGTCGCTTCACTTGTTCTAATGCTATAGTATGTATTAGTGTTACCAGATTCTCAAGGCACTGTACATTATTTCAAATGTGCATAGATCTATTTCTTATATTAGGAATCTGGCAATGCTGATATTCATAGACAGTCGTTAGCTTCGACTGTAGTGGCACTGCGTGACTGAGAAAATGTTAGCAAAATGTTTGGGGTTCTGGAATACTGTCGATTAAACATGGAAAGACATCAAAAGTAAAGATTTATACATCAATTCTATTGTTTCGACAGCATTCACCGAGCCATTGTGATTCCCGGCGTTAGTTTTGACCGCTGTAAATGAGCTCTAGATCTAGTAGAAAGCGAGTGTGCACTAAATGTAACTATACATGTACACAGACTTTGTCACGTCAGTGCCGAGCGCCAGGCGGGCGCACCGTGCGGGCAGGACAGCACTCGGTGCTTGTTTTCTTTATTTGTGCTATCGAACTAACTCTAACGTTTTCGAGTGGTGATACACTTAACCTATCATTCGGCTCATAATACTTACCACTAACCCTAACTGTCGTAACTGTGAGGAATTTAACATGACCTCCATTTGAAATATGTTTGCTTTTCACTGTACATACTGTGTGACAATATTGCTCTGGAATTACCACCATCAACCACTGTTCACATGAATACAAAGGCTCATTCACATGAACACACAAAAATAGTCTTCTTGTCAAGCATTTTAGACGGACCATAGCGTTTTTAACCGAATTGTTTATTCCTTTCTGAGCATCATGTATCAGCAATTAACTTAGGCAAATATATCTTACCACGTTGACTGTTATTATTGTGCCCGCTTTTTAAGTAATTTGCTAATAGTTGTTTATTCTTTTGATATTAAGAGAAGATTACCGTAGTGCGAGAATAATCCTTTCAAGCAGATTCTAAGACGATGAGGGGCGTTCTATATTTGGCTAGAACAATTTGTGAGATTAGGTAGGTAATTAAGTGAAACTAGTTAAGAGATTTAACATCTGTTGAAAGTAGAAGATATTCTCGTAATTAAATAACGACAATTTATTTTCACAATTTCATCAAAATGTGATTCAAGAAAACTGAATATGTTGATACAAACTAAAACGAGTTACAAACTGATAATGGGTAATGACGAAATAAGGGCCAAATTGAAGTTTACCGCTATTCCTTCGATTAAACTCAGGATCGAGAACATTGTGGCCTTCTTTAAATGAAATGACTAGGATGGATCTTTCAAGCCACCATATTTTATCTTTGCCTAATGGTTAGAAAGTATAATGTAATGTGGTATATCTCGACTAAAAAATACACATAATTACAATATTTAAACTATTTACATTACATACAACTATTTACATTAAATTAAAGAAAGACTGAAAAAGCCCGACTCATATAACGAATTTTACTTTGTTATAAAATAACACTAACACTGCTTTCCAACAACAAATAATCGGACTACGTAGTATATTGCTGAATATTATATAAGATATAAACATAGGAATCGATAATAACCTTTTTTTTTGCGTATATAATAATGATAATTTATTATTAAAAAAAGCACAATACAGTTTGTCTATCTCATCCAAACATAAAAGCATAGTTGAATACAATGTTAATAGAATAAACTTTATCTTACACCACAACAATTTTTTTAGTAAATCTTCTGTTATAAGTTAAATTAAATATTTCTGAAAAAATAAGGTGTTAATGCGTGATATTAATATCCCTAAACAAACATAAAAATATGTTTCTTAATAAAGGTAGTTTGAAAGAATAAATACCTATTACGGTATTACTGGGACTTTGTGGGTTCATATTAAAAGCAAATAATATGTATTTCTTTATTACGGCTGCATCAAAAATGAACGCCCCTTACGTAAAATTAATCTAATCTCGTTTCCCATTATTTTCGTGTTACGCAGAAAACTACTTAGTTAGGAATAAACGTAAACAGCTGTACGTAATAGTCGTGCCGCACAGTTTATAGTACACCTAATTTATTACCGCTGCATAAAAGCTGCAGACATTCTCAAAGCATTATGTACATGAATCATTTCGTCTCGTGTAAATGAGCCTTTGTGTGAAGTGGTTAGTTTTCCTCTCGGGTACGTGTGGGTACAAAGACGTATGGTTGTAGGCGGCGGGCCTGGCGGGGACAACCTCGCCGCCTCCAACCCGTTCGACGAGCCGCCGGGGCCCAGGAGACCCCCAGGTACTTAACACTGTGCACATCTCCTCATAATTGTTATGTCACGTATTAACCTTTGTTTGTTCGTCAGAGTTAGTCATGTATGCTAACAAAAATTTTATCAATATACTTTTCTCCTCGTGTACAATAGCTAAAAATGAAAATTTTATTATATACAGTGAGCTATTTGTCAAAATTGATTGTGATCTAACGGACGTATTATGTCTAAGATGATAATGGTGATATCGAACGTGATAGGTTTAGCGTATTTCAATACCGCATCTAACTATGTGTTTTTTTTTAAATTATGAAATTACGTTTCTTAATACTGTTGGAATTCATTACTTACTCTTTCGAAGGCATTTCCTTATTCTATCCTAAAGTATGTATCTACTACACAATGTTTTCTTTGTAATACTAATGATTTTCACTCAAGCTTGTTCTGGCTACATTTATATTGTTTTGCAAATATTCAATTAGTAAAGTAATTTATATGAAAATGAAGATCAATGTTGTATGTAATTTTTTTTGCATGTTTTTAGTATATTTGTATGTGGTTGTCAAGAGCATGTTGTAAATAAGTGTAGTTTTTATGTAAATAATTATTCCATGTATTTGATTATATTGAAGTTCATATACTATCAGCAGGTTACCAACAAGGATACGGGTACGAATATGGATCTCCCTATCAGCCAAATAGACCTGTTTATCCAACGTACGGCCCCGAGGGAGAAAGGTATGTTGCATTTATATTGTTATTAAGTTAAATAATTGCTGTAGCGGCGAAAGGTAGTGTAGTGGAACATAATAGTCGTATGGGGTGATGGGTTTTATCTCATGTAGACTTTTTGCAATGATATTTTTTTATCCTTCAATATGCGTAACCGTTAAATCATCTGAAAACACTTGGCTTTATCGTTAGCTCCGTTTTACAATGTGGAGCAAGTTCACGAATAAGTGTTTGACCTGCATATTAAGGTACACGTTGGAATGGTACATAACAGTCGTTTAATAACGCATCTGTGCGTGTTACGTTCCAGGGGCTATCGCGGCGGCTCCGGCGGCGAGTACCAGTACGCCGGCTACGGCGGCGCGTACCGGGGGGGCGCGCCCGGCGCCGCCACGCCGCCCCCCGCGCAGCCCTACCCCGAGTACTACCGCGCGCCGCACCCGCCGCACGGCCCGCACGCGCCGCACCAGCCGCACGCGCCGCACCAGCCGCACCAACCGCACCAGCCGCTGCAGCCGCAGCACCCGCAGCCGCACCCGCAGCAGCACCCGCCCCATCCGCCCATCTCGCCGCAGCAGCCACCGCATGAGGTATGTCCTGCCCCCACGGTCCACTTTCTTACTATTTCTTTAAATAGTCAGCAGTCATCAAACGATCTAAGTCTTCTACAGTATGACGTCTTAAGCGCTCTGTGCATATGTAGCTATAAATTGACGAGATTTTTTACCAACTTCGATTGATTACCTCGCGGTCATCTATGTTATAATGATTATAACGTTCAGTCAGTATATTATTTTCTCGACTACAAGGGGTTACCTGTTATATCATTATACAATTTTACAAGAGTATGTGCATATTACTTTTGGTATGTACATATACTTATGTATTTTCATTAGTAACTTGAAAACGACAATTTCACCTACCTCATTCTTTTTCAACACCGCCCAATCGGTCGACTGGCAGAGAATGCCTTAGGCATTAAGTCCGCCGATGCATGTACTTGTGCAAAAAGTTATAAATAAATAAATATTTTTTTTATTATATCTGTATGTGCACAAAGATCTTTAATTTACCGTACACATGACTTTCTTGTTTTCAAATCTTCATACACATTTTAATAACGAAATCCTTAGTTTTTTTATATTAATAGTTGCCTCATTTTGGTGAATTATTCTTATAGTTATCCCAACTTACTATATATAACAATACATATATTTGTTTTTAAAATGTCATATGTACGAGTTACAGTTTGAGGAAACTTTGTTAAAGTACAAGTAATTTGTTTTAAAAGTTTAAAAAGTTGACTCAAGCAAATTTTATGTGGCATGAATTTATAATTAAGTAGGCTACTCATTTATGTTTTAATGTAATTTTAGATAATACTTAAAAGAATATGCCCTGTTTTCTTTTTTTTTTGTGTTATTAGGCTGTTTAGCATATTTCTCCAAGTTATGTATTTAATTTATTGACATACCTAAATATATTCCAATTAGAGTATTTTAGTCAATGATTATTGTCCCGCATGTATAGCATGTAAGGAGTGTATATTAATAGTTAAATTAGATAATATTGTTTTCACATGTTACGTGATTGGTTGATACAAAATTACCTCCCATATTATAAAATTTTAATAGGTAAATTCAGACAGTGGCAATCAAGTTTTTACGTGGTCAGTATAAGTTGAAATTTTAATTATCACCATAATCTGCCAAGGTTTGTTGTTACATAGCGTATCGTGAAACAGTTTGCGAGTATAATGCCATGTGTCGAATTACATTTCCAAGAATACTTGCAACCTAATCCGACGCGCTAGCATTTGACCTTTTCTCTGATCTGTCGATTTGACTGTGTTCGTGGATGTACTCGAGTGTAAAGTAAGAAAAGATCTTTAGTTAGACTGTTTGTTAAACATAATCAACACAAATAAATCTCTATGTATATCAGTAAGTTGGTCATCAACTAATTTTATAACTTGGAAATTTTTCTATAAATTCATTTAATATGAATTAATGGCAACAGACATACTGAAAATATAATCTGTTAATTTTACATGTATGCTCAAAAATATTTACAATGTGTTCACGGTTAATGTCTGTATGTGAGTTTCTTAATTCCACCATAACTCCTAACCTGAACAGATTTTGATATTTGAAATCTAAAGAACACTTACTTATATTTTGCTTTTAATTTAATACGGCTGATATATGTAATAGGTTTTTGGCAGAACATTATATTTTTTTATTTTTAATTAGCTACTGATACTGTTATTGCTACATTTGTGAAACCTTCATGTATTTATTTTAATTCGTCACTGACGTGTTCCTCCTAAGGTAACGGTAATCTTGAATCGGAAAGTCCATCACATAATTTACTCCCTGTTATTTTTGAGCGTATATGTATAAGGAGATCTAATTGCCCTCACACGCGTGATCCACTGACTCAGTCGAGTAGACTCTGCGAGAGGCAGTAGAGGTTTAGCGTCGTGCGGAGAGTGACGCTGTGTGTTTGCGGTAGATGGGCGCGGCGGGCGGCGCGGCGGGCGGTAGCTTATTGAACTCGCAGCTGGCGCGGCAGCTGGTGGCGCCGCTGCCGCCCGGCCCCAGACCCTACGTACGGACGCCCCGTTTGTACCACGCACTCAACACCGCTTCCCATCGATTGGCGACCGGTTCATTCTCACCCGCACGGATATGGTCACGCGTGCCCCGCGCCGATACTCGCGAGAACGTCCCGATACTACGAACCGTTTGACTGGGGGTTTTCCACCAGCTAGAAATTTACTGTACGGGTCCATAAATCTAGAGTCGAAGTACTGTATACATATTACCGAATAGGTACTCCATTTGTGAAATGTACATAAACGAATGACTCCGGTTCGATTAAAAAGACCTGGGACATTAAAACTACCTTTGAAAACTATTTAGTAAAAATAAAGCTTCAGGCAAGACACGATTTACATATATTCTCATTTGAATACAGTACTTAATTGTAAACTTCAAAAGTAAAAGTATTGCAGTATTATAATATATATTGCTATTTAATACAAACCCAGGAGACGAGTATCGATGCGAGGGGCAAAACTCATTCGTGGTTTTGGCTTCATTTTTTTTTTAAATAATATCACTCGTTTGACAAAATTTTAAGCTATCACTGTTAATTTTTTTCTTCTATTTTTGTTTAACAAAATTTTGGCTTGCGGTGTGATTAATTGGCTTTTCCGATGTCACCGTCGCGGGTCTCGATACTGCGACGGCTGTATAAAACGAACTCGTCCGCTAAAGCTCCTTCAAAATTTAACAAAAATAATCAAAACATGGAAGTTAAGGTTTAGAGTGTGTGGTGGTGGCTTTATATGAACAATTTTGGTCACTAAATCATTGTGCATGCATTCAATTCACATAAATCATGTAAGCTTAGCTGTAAGTTAACGATATCGTAGCTTTGTTATTTACGTCACTATTCGATCTAATGTATCGCGGATGGAAAATGTATTCCTTATAAATGTGATACTAGCGACAACGTCAGCCACTTTAAAGAGAAAGAGGCCGTGACCAGGTCTCTAGTATCAGATATAATTTCAAATGATTTCTTTTCAGTAATAACTTGTAATTAATAGATCACGATATATTTGATCGACTTCTGTACGGAACTTATCATCTTACAGTCAGTCAACACATTTGGGTGCACGGCTAGTGTAACGAAGTTACAATAAATGTTGCTTTCTGTAATATTTTGACTCGCTATTATTTGATCGATTTGTCTGTGGGTATAAAAATAATAAAAGATTACAGGGATTTTGTTGTGGGATTTAGTTTTATAAAAAAGTAGTAAAAAAGCTTTTACAATTTTGACTTTCCTTGCTTATTGATATTTTATCGTATCTTAGTTGTTTTCATATTATGTCAAGTCGTACTTATTTAAAAAAAAAAAAGACAAATTGGTCAAATTTACTCCGTTAATCCACGTATGACCTTGGGAATCATAACTGGAGGTTGGAGGGCGAGTTACTAAACAGTTAATGTCACACACTGATCTATAAGCGTGCATATTCACAGTATGGTGGCGCTAAGCAGCTAGGAGCGGGAGCTGTCGCAAGCGGAGGCGCACCTAGACGGCACCCTGACTTCGCGAAAGGAGAAGGTCAATATGGAGGGGCGGGGGCGGGTGGAGGGGCACCGGGGACCGGCGCTGGTGCAGGCGCCGCCCCTGGTGCCCCGGCACCTGCGCGGTTTGGGGGCGCCTGGGGAGGGGCGTACCCTCGCGCTCCGCAGCCTCCCGCACCCGCCGCACCCTGGCGACCGCAGCCAGGAGCACCACAACCTCAATGGTCGCATCCACCGTACCAGCCACCGGTAAACATAATGCTTTTTTTAACGTCTATTTTTCCCTCCTTACGCTTATTTTGGACTATTTGACAGATTAGTGTACGCTAAGCCGAGATCGTAGGTTTGATCCCACCCAGAGAAAATAATTGTGTGATGAGCACGATAATTTGTTCTGTCTTGGTGTAATTTATCTATAATATATGTATATTTTCAGAAATATTGAAGTACATAATTGTGTTGATCAGCAGTGCTGATTATCATAACACTAGCTCTGCCTAACTTTGAGATTCAAAGGATTTGGGATGGGATTTGGGATCAGGATGTGTGAAGTTAGAATCTTATTTCTTAGCTTTCCATGGATTTACCCTCTGGATGAGGCGGCGGCTTCGCCTGATAGATGGGGGCAACACATCCGACTTCGACTGGCAATTGCGACAGGAATAGGTTATTTGTTAACTTGTAGACAGCGGATCACACTTAATTTTTGGAACCTTTTAATGGTACTCTGCAATTTTTTTTTTATCAATTTCTTTGCGTTTCTTCTCAGAAATTAGCAATTCATGTACATATCAAAACAATTCAATTACATATCATAATGACAAAGTGGTTTTTTGTTATTATTCATTAGAATACCATTATATCCTAAAACGGGGTTATTACATTCCAGCCTGGTGGTGCACCAGCATGGGGCGGAGCTCCTCGGCCGCCGACGCAGGATGGCACGTACTCCTCTTCCGCGGCACCCTCACTCGTAAGTGAACTCGATCGACAGATTAAAAATTTTACTGTACCATATACCATCATCATCATCAACAGCCTTGAGTAGTCCACTGCTGGACATAGGCCTCTCCTTAGAAAGGAGGTTTTGGCCTACTATACCACGCTGGCCAGACGGGTTGGTACAGGGTTTGTTTCAAGTATTCCTTCTCATTTCAGTGCTGTTGTCCTGTGTAGTTTGCTCCCTTAGTCGGCTCGTACAACGCCCTTGGAATGAATAGGGGTGGTGACACTGTATTTTTAATCCGTCACCACACACCACACGCCATATACCCTAAATCATTATATATCGTTGCAGAGTTCAGCGCCGACGTTAAATGCTGCAGGGCAGTTAAAACGTGAGCTGACATTCCCTGCCGAGTGCGTAGAGGCCGCATTACCCTCCAGTGAAAAGCGCCGGCGTTTGACCAAGGCCGACGTAGCGCCCGTCGATGCCTGGCGTATTATGATGGCGCTCAAGTCCGGTCTACTCGCCGAGACCTGTTGGGCTTTAGACATACTCAACATACTTCTCTTCGATGATAACTGTATAGGTTATTTTGGGCTCCAGCATATGCCAGGACTCCTGGATCTACTACTGGAGCATTTTCACAAGAGCCTGAGTGATGTATTTGACTCTCCCTCTAACGACGAAGGACCTTGGTATGCGCCGCCACCAAGCCCCGAACCCGTCGTAAAGCCTGTAAAAACGAAGAAAGAACCCCGCGAGCCACCTGACCCTGTTGACCGAGTGCGAGTTTTATCAGGAGAAAATTACACACTAGAGTCTCGTCGCCGACATCCTGTCGTGTACAAACCTGACGAGGAGTTGTTTGCGGCCGACGACGAAGTCGAAGACTACGAGCGCGTGGAGGATGTGCTCGAACCCTGGCAGTTTGGTGGAGACTCGGGTGGTGCGGCGCACGTCGTACCATGCTTCCGAAGCGAGTTTCTGCACTTACCATTCGTTCGTGTCATGCCCGGCGCACGAGCACCCTCACCGCCCCCACCCGCCGTGCCTGAACCTCCACCTGATCCGCCTGCTGCGCCGGCCCCTGCGGCGGATCACGGTGATAACCTGGCACCTGAACCTATGGAGCTGGAACCTGAGAGGCGTCCCGTGCTGGCAGTGCGGGACCCAGCCGGCGTGCTGAAGCGGCGGCGTCTCGAAGATTACGAAGATGAGTGTTACACGCGCGACGAGCCCAGCCTCAACCTCGCCGACGAGTCACGGGACGCGCTGGCGCGCCGCTGCATAGCTTTATCAAACATTCTGCGTGGCCTCACGTTTGTTCCCGGTAACGAGGCCGAATTTTCGCGCTCGGGTGCATTTCTGGCACTCGCAGGCAAGCTGCTCCTCCTTCACCATGAACATGCACCGCGCGCGGCGAGAGCGCGCGCCTACGAGCGAGCGGCGCGCGACGACTCCGATGCGTCCGCCTGCTGCTCTTCGCTGCGAGGTGGCGCCGAATGGTGGTGGGACGCGTTAGCGCAACTGCGCGAGGACGCGTTGGTCTGTTGCGCCAACATCGCCGGCGGCGTCGAGCTCTCGGGGCAACCCGAGGCCGTGGCGCGGCCTCTCCTCGACGGGCTACTACACTGGGCGGTGTGCCCGGCCGCCGTCGCGGGAGACGCGCCCCCCGCGGCGGGGGCGGGCTCTCCACTTTCGCCGCGCCGCCTGGCGCTGGAAGCACTGTGTAAACTGTGCGTGACGGACGCCAATGTAGACCTGGTGCTGGCCACGCCGCCCCGCGGCCGGATCGCAGCGTTGTGCGCGGGGCTGGCGCGCGACCTGTGTCGACCGGAGCGGCCTGTAGTGCGCGAGTTCGCCGTGAACCTACTGCACTACCTCGCGGGCGCGGGCGGCGGCGCGGCGCGAGACGTGGCGTTGCACGCGCCTGCCGTGGCGCAGCTCGTGGCCTTCATCGAGCGCGCAGAGCAGACGGCGCTGGGCGTGGCCAACCAGCACGGGGTGGCGGCGCTGCGCGACAACCCCGACGCGATGGGCACGTCGCTGGACATGCTGCGGCGGGCGGCCGCCACGCTGCTGCGCCTGGCGGAGCACCCCGAGAACCGGCCGCTGATCCGGCGCCACGAGCGGCGCCTGCTGTCGCTGGTGATGTCGCAGATCCTGGACCAGAAGGTGGCGCACGAGCTGGCCGACGTGCTGTTCCACTGCTCGCAGGGCGCGCGGGACGCGGACGCGCCGCACGACTAGTGCCAGTGACTGACTCGTGACTCGACTGATGAACTCCTTACCTGTCGGTACGTGACGTGTACATATAGTGATACGGGTGCTCGGACGCGCCGCTGACTTCCGTTGACTGTCTCGCGACTCCGAGCTCGTTGTAGCGGTGTCTCAAGTGTTAGGCTGTACGATCCGATTTTGTTATTTATGTCCATGATGATTTATTTACAACAAGAATGTCAATGTGCTATAATCGATTTCTATTGTTCGATTGTGAAAAGATGTATTATAACACGTAATTTTGATTTTTATAATAAAATGGGACTTGAATCTGTTTATTGGTTTTATGATGGAGATTTTATACCGAGTACCTTTAGCGCCTTTGTCTATAAGAGAAAACGTAGTGGAACGTGTGAGAGGAGCTTATGTGGGCTATAAGTTTAATTAAGTTTAATGTGAATTACAATAATCTATAATATATTGAAATTGAATCTGAATTTTTATTTTGTTTTCATGAATTGGCATTTTTAATTTTGTATACCTATATTAAAACTAAATTGATTGAAGTTTGAATTACAAAACAACAGCACACAATTCTTTTAGGCTTACAGTATTGCTGGAAATCATAATCAGTCACGAAAGATATTAGGTCTTTCTTTACCTATGAAGTTGGAGATTTGCATGAAAATTAAAAATATAAAAATTTTGGTAATTTTTATTTAATTTCTAAATTTAAAAAAGGTAAAAGTCTGTTGGGGCATGGTCTGGTAAGTAATGCGGGTTACGGAGAGCTTCCAATTGTAACTCCTGTAGCCTTTGCTATGCTCTGTCGTGAAGTGTGAGCTCGCGCGTTTTCGTTTAAAAGTATTGGGAAAGAGCGATTGACCAGTCGTGATTGTTTAATTGCGTCACCATTCAATTCCGTCACCGCCGTCACTGTTGTGCCATTCGGTAAGAAGCTGTGATTCCGCACTGGTCCACTAGACAGTTACCGTCATCTTCCTATGGGTAATCTTTTTTTAGCGCACTGATTAGGTGCTGTACCCTGGTCCACCCACTAAGACGAACGCTTACGGCTGTCTTACAGGAGCCACTTTTCATTGCAGGTAACAATTCGATTGAGAATTCCCCGTTTCTATACCGATTTAGTAGAGCTATGCATGCCTCGCAAGTCTCACTGATAGTCGCTTAGTTCGTGTGGCACACACTTATCTAGCTTTTTTTATCTTGCCAATTTGACGCAAATGCTTCAATGTTGTTTTGACACTAACTCAAAAGCCCGCGACAAGCTTAGAGGTAGATTGAGTTGGATCCGCTTCCACTATCGCCTTAAATTCGTCGTTGTCGACTATAGTTACAAGCCGACCGCGAGGCTCGTTCTTCAACTCAAAATTTCCAGATCTAAAACGATTAAAACAAAAATGGACTATGTGTATATGCAAGCAGCGTCAGGACCGTACCCGTCGTTAATGTTTCGTGTTGTTTGCGCAAGCGGTATTTCCACGTAGGATTCGAAAATTGTATGAATTTTCAGTTTATCCATGATGTCAAAAACTACAGCAATTTCACAAAATCAAAAGACTGTTTAAAAACAATGACTGTATTTTAAATTAAAAAACATGGCTTTTGAATAAAATTTATTTGAATTTCAACTTGCCTGCCAATACACGTATAAATAAATAAATAAATAATTAAATCTTAAAATTATGGTTTAAAAATCTCCAACTTCAAAGGCATAGGCCTATTGTTTTAAAAACACTAATCATTTAGTATGCCCTATAATGTTATCAATAACTTACTGCTATGAATTTAGTCTCTAGTGAATTTTGTTGGGACTAAAGACTGTATATGCATCATGAGCATGGGTTTGATCGATTTATCAATCGAATTATCTAAACCCAGTAACTTCAAGCCAAAAATACTTTATAAAGTAATTCTGATAGTAAGTAGAAGCGATTCACATTAACATAAATCAGTAAAATAAGAAAACTATTTTTGCACCTCTAGTAAAATTGTGTTTCCCTTCTGAAAAGTAATGAGTTTGCACATACGAGGTGTCACATTTAGACCAGCGATAATAAATGCGAAAGACGTACGTCTATTTATTTTTTACGCTTTTAAGATAGGTTTTTAATAATGAGTAGACTCAACTGATCATCGTTAAATGTTACATACACGTACTCAAGTATAAAGAACGGGGTATAGGACCCCTTTTATATGGAAACGAAGTACCTTTTATTCCTATCTAAAGCTGATATAAAAATAATAGTGATTAATTTGGTGTACATAACTATTGACGTGATTTCATTGTGCATGCATATACTATTGCAACATAGGTATATAAATGTGTTATTGCAGTAGACGCAGTCTCACGTTGCTATAGCATTCGAGTAGAGAGGAGAGAGAGGTACAAATCGTATGTGATTGATGCCAATATATATATTTGCAAGAGCAAATTTTAAGACTAAGGTGATATATATTGCTGTGCAAGCAAAAGTAAACTAATGGTTAAATAACTGTATCTAAAGAGGCAAAGAGAAAACGGAAAATAATAATATTGTGTTTCTCAGCCGATTTTGTTTTAGTGTTTAAGAGACAGTGATACAAATATTTTCATAAGCTCAGCACCACACAAATATGAAAGTACGGGTGATGGTGTTATAACTACGTTAGTAAACTATTTTCGGACACGCAATTGCGCTGAGGTATATGTCTCGTAAGGTTCGTTACACTATTTTGATGGTAGTGTAAATGAATATGGGTATAAAGCAAGTAACAATATTGGTAAAATATTTGTAGATTAGTAATCGGATTGAATACAAGTTAGAAGAGAAAACAATGAAGTCAACCAGTTACTATACAAAAATTGTCGAGACTGTTGTAGAACAGATACCTTTTACGCTAGTGTTGCCAAAAGAGCAAAAAATGCCTTGTTAGATATTGAGTCTTTGTGGACAGGCTTCTGTTCCCCATGTCATGAATGTATCCAGAAATCATCCTGGCATATAATGATCCTAGTTTATTCCAATTTTGTTTAAAAGTTTGAAAGTATTCTTAGGTCAAAAGTGAGCGATGACATCTCTTTTATTTGACTTTACATACACAATTTCATCTTTGGTTAACTATTTATAAAATTTTCTATTTCTTTTTAAAGTTTTAAAAATATTGAAATTGATCATTGAAGCAGTAATGAGAACGGTTGTCTAAATTAGTGTAACCTTTTAGATTTCTAATGTTCCGAGATCCATTAGATTATATCCGATGGAGTGTCAGTCGTGCGATAGTAAGAAAGTTACCAAAGTATTTGACGCATCGCAGCGTAAAAGGTCAAGGAAGAAGCGCGATGGGTTTGACGATGCGAACTCTGTAGCAACCGATGACTCTGCAATAGTAAGTATCAATATGGTAATAGATTCAAAATGGAGAAAGAAATTACTCGGAAATTTACTGTTCTTCAGCCCAGGTTAAATTGATTAACCCATTTATGTAAGTTATAAATGTAAATACAAATTATGTAAATGAGTGTGGTGAGTGTTGCATGCTAGTAATCAAATTTTTACTTAAGTTATAGGACGAAATATAAACTAAAATTAATGATAACAGGGTTCTGTTCGTACAAGCTGTCCTGTGCCGTCAGGGAAAACTAGTTTGCCAGATTTAACTTCAGCGAAGGGTATACAAGAAACTCATGTTCCTAAAAGGTATTACTTCACCTTTTCAGCATCTAACTTACCTTATACTATGTTCATGTATAATATAATGAGTAAGTAGTATAAAAATACATTTTTATACTACTTACTCATACTCATACTCCTATCTACCTAGTATCGAAACAAATGCCTTAAGTACTTTGCTTCTTCGTCGTATGAACGGGTGAACTCCTCTAAATTTTATCCGCTCAAAATACCGCCAAAGCCACGGCATTGTTCGTTGCTCTCCACAGCTCCTCTACGGTGCAGATAGGGGGGCACAGTGGACAAGAAAGCAACTCTTTACTTATATGTGTCTCCCTTCTTCTATCTCTTTATCACTAACGGTACTGGCATAAGCGGTTAATTTTAATTCGTGTATATTCTTCAAACCACGTATTCTGCAACTGATATGGAGGTCTTTCTCTGCAGGAAAACCAGAAACATGATAAATAAAAAAAAAACATGATAAATAAAAAAAATGAACTTTTTATTTCAGAATTCTACACTGGTCAGCAAATAAACCGAGCCACCCGCTACCTAGGAACTCTGATTCGATTTTCTCAAAAAGTATAAAACTTACAACTATCAAAGTTATACCTACAAAAAGTGCGTTTCATGGTGATTAAAATGACTAAAAATTAATTCGAAAGTACCGTCAACTCACATTGTAATCAAGCAACAAACACAATGCTAACGATTTGCTCTGTTTTCACCAGAGTTTGAAATTAGCGTTCTTTTTCTCTACAATGAGGGTAGTCGGATATTTCTTATCATTTCTTTAGTTATTGTCCATCGTTTGCTCAGACGCGTGTGTTTTTGCTACTTTTTTCGATTAATAATGGATACAACACCTCAGGAAGCAGCTCAAGCTGTAGCATTACTTCAAGCAGGCATTGCGCAACGTGAAGTCGCTCGAAGGCTTCGAATCAGCAGATCTTCGGTGCAACGAGTTTACAGACGATACCTAGAGACTGGAGCATTCGATCGCCGTCCAGGTACGGGCAGACCTAGGGCTACATCAGCAGCAGATGATCGTTATATCCACCTTACTGTTCTGCGAAATCGCCACCTCAACGCAGTTCAAGTCCAACAAAGTCTGCGTGACGAACGCCAAGTGGTCATAAGTTCAGATACCGTCAGAAGGAGACTTGCTGAACGGAACCTGACCCCAAAAAGAGCTGCAACAGGCCCAGCATTAACGGTAGCACACCGTCGAGCACGACTTGAATTTGCTCGAGAGCATAGGGATTGGACATTAGAGCAGTGGAGTAATGTACTCTTCACTGATGAGACCAGGGTGAGTCTACATGGAAGTGATCGACGTCAGAGAGTATATCGTCGCCCTGGAGAACGTTATTCTCAGTGTTGCATCGAGGAAACTGTTGCTTATGGAGGAGGATCTGTAATGGTCTGGGGCGGCATCTCGTTAACAGCACATACAGCGTTAGTTTTCATCGAACCGACGGGCCGTACACGTGGACTGACTTCTCATCGCTACATTACTGAAATCCTCGCAGACCATGTGGTACCTTACGCAGGATATATCGGACAGGATATGCAATTGATGCATGATAATGCACGGCCTCATGTTGCTCATGTGGTGACCCAGTATCTACGCGACGTCAGCATTCGTACGATGGACTGGCCAGCTCGAAGCCCGGACTTGAATCCGATAGAACACTTATGGGATGAGCTGAAACGTCGGGTTCGAGCCCGGATACCTGCTCCAACAAGGCTTCCAGAGCTGCGAATCGCAATTGAAGAGGAGTGGAATACAATTCCTCAAGATTTTATCGTCAGGCTCGTAAGGTCGATGAATACAAGGATGCTGGCAGTTATCCGAGCAAGGGGAGGGAATACGGAATATTGATCAAAAACTTTTTTTTGATTTTATCTTTGTTTTTGGCTTTAATTTTTTTTTCACTTTATCATTACTAACGATTGTCACGACTGGAAAACGACTCTTCTTTGTAAAATCCTTAATAAACACTGAAATATTGATTAAACCCAATGAGTTTCCTTTCATTTTAATCACCATGAAACGCACTTTCTGTAGGTATAACTTTGTTAATTGTAGGTTTTTTAGTTTTTGAGAAAATCGAATTAGAGTGCCTAGGTAGCGGGTGGCTCGGTTTATTTGCTGTCCAGTTTATATCTATATTTCGTAAGGTATTGGGTAAAACTTAAAGAACGAGTGTTAATTCATAAGTTGAACAAAAAAAGTATTAAAAGCTAAGTAATATGTCATAAATTAGTACAAGTACAAAGTTCACATTTGGGGAGCTATGGAAGGCTAAAGGGCTCAAAATGTAGTCACAATTACCCAACAAGATGAATGAACTAGAACAAAAAAATATCCATCTTTTTAGACGTGGTTGTTGATGGGTAGGGTTGCGGCTCGCCGTCGCCGCTCACTTTCAGGGTTGCTGCACGTCTCGTCTATCATAGTATTAAAAATATGTATTGTATATTATTTTTGTTTTCAAATATAGTTTCATGGTACCTAAATATTAGTTTCATGATAATTTAAAAATGTTATGGGTGTGAAAGGTAAGATTAATATAAGTAATCAAATAATAAAATTATTTTTGAATCCTCTTCTTTTTTAAATAGAGAGAGAGACAGTAGTCCATCTCAAGAGCATTCGCCTATTGACCACCGGCGATCGCCTGTCGACCCACATCGTTTGTCACGATCACGGCGGAGACATCACAGGTCCTCTGCGTACGTATATTATACACATATGATTTAATCATCTATTGCCTAAATATTTGTTTAAACTGTTAGATTTGAAAAGTAAATGGTGTTGGTATCTATCTTATGGACATAATTCCAAGAAGTATGTACGTGATTTGGTTTTAAAGGATTCTGACTGAAACTTACATTCTAGGAGTCTCGACGAAGTCCAACCAGTAAATTATCATTCTTGTCATTCTGGGTCATTGTCGGTTGATCAATGTAGCCATACTGTTGCTATTATTTCCATGTCCGTTTGGATTGAGGAGTCACTTTTCATATCTTTATGAAATTATTATTATTGTTTAGTAGTAAATTAAATAATTTTGTATCCTCGGTCCTCGATTTTGTAGTAGAACACTTTTAAAGTTACATGAACGTAAAGGTAACGTTTCGTAAAACACAAATCAATTTTTGTCTAATTATTTGGGTGTAACTACAAATTAATGTGGTTACCTACCTACCTGCCCTCAATAATATATCTCTTCATATCGCTATACACCACGACACAAGAGTCAGTATCTCAGCACTGACAAATAGTTATTGCAGACGTAGTGAATTATTACCTTTAAATTAAATTATTATTTTCGATACAAAACGCGGCAAAATAGGTGGTAGCAGGTAGTATAATAATAGGTGTTATAAAATAATCCCAGCAATTAGCGACACTGGCATTGGACAACTAAAACAATTACTACCCTACAAAGGATGAGATGTTCTGTTACGACGACTATGATTCTCACTGTAAAACTATTTATTTAACTACTATTTATTTACTAAATCCCCTCAGTTTTACTACTTCCTCCTGATGCTGCAAATTCAAACACACTTGTTACTAAATATTATTGGAGTGGAATATAAATTTTTACCTATTAATTTAATGACAATTTACGATCTTAAATAAAGATTCAGGAGACACATTAAAAGTATTGTATATTCTTGAATATCAACAGTACCTACTGGATTCAGGTTTTTAGTAGGCTCTAAACACAATTACTACTAAATAAAAGGAAATTTTGAAAAATATTCTATAAATACTTTCCGCGTTCCAGATGGCACCTCAATTCAAATGTTTATTGAGGAGCCACTTTTACATTGATGTAACTTTGGATATATCTTACTGCAAATTTAAAAATTGGCCCTCAAAAAATATTTTTTCACTTACTAAATAAGGGGAGTTTTTAAAATCTGAAATGGCTCTTCAATCCCTACGGACACTTATTTCCGTGTCCTTATTTGTTTACTATTTTACAGAAATGAGGGAGTGTCTCTTGCGCTGAAGGCCGGGCTTGTTTCTACTCCACGCTCCGTCTCTCCACTAGAGGTAGATAAATAATACATGACATGTTTACTTTGATATTCTATCATATCAGGCTATCTAAAGGCTGTGCACTGCGCATCTACAATAGCTCTGTATTAAATAGAAAGTAGTCTGAGCTACCTTGTAGATCTTTTCTAAAATGGCGTTGTTCATAACTCATGTCTTAAGGTCATTGGTACAAATGACAGACAGACAAGCGATGCGTCAACATAGGGCATAGTGTGATTTTATTTCACATCAACCAGCTCTTGACGGCGAGCGTATTCGGCTTTGCGATTGGTGAAGAGTTCAGTGCGGGCCAATCGCATTGCCGAACGCGGTTACCGCGCGCCGTGAAAATCCAGTACTTGTCTAAATTCATCACTCATCACATTTTTCTTCAAGTGCCGTCTTCGCTTCGAATTCGAAAGTTGGCATTCATTAAGGCTATTCTAAGAAGACGAAATTCCTGGGCACGGAAATTCCGAGTGTGGTTCAACTGCTTAATAAATCAACTTTTTAAATCCGCGGTAACCAAGTCTCGAATACCCTTAATATTTACAAACCTAATCACCTAAGTATTATAAATTTATTTATCTACTATAGATGGGACAGAATCACAGTGAACTGTGAATGAACGGTGATTTATCGTTCCATTTTTCCGTACGTAGGTAAATTTCGTACGCAAAAATCTAATGATAAATCAGTTCACTGTGATTTTGTCCCATGTCTAGTATCTACAATACATGTGTAATTTTCTTGCGGGTTCAGGAAGGAGATGGAGTTTGTGAATCCATACCACAAGACCAGGATTCGTTTATATACGCATTTTTAGAAGAAGCTATCAAGAGAGACAAAAAGAAGTAAGAATTTCTATTTTGTGATGGTGCTATAATTTTGTTATTTGTTTGTGTAAGGTCTAATTACGTGGGAGAATTTATACGGAATGTAAGGATAAATTGAAATAAATAATACATTCAAAATACGACGACCGAATGGCGTAATGGTTTGTGTAAAGGAATGCTATTCCAAAGGATGTGGGTTCGATTCCCGCTCAAGTCAAACATTTGTGTGCATGAACATTTAATGTTTGATTTGGTCTGGGTGTTTCTATGTATAATAAGTATGTATTTACAAAAAAAAAGTATATATGTATTTATATCAGTTGTCTAGTACCCATAGTACAAGCTCTGCTTAGTTTGGGACTGGATGGCGTTGTGTGAATGTGGTACAATATTATTATTATTAAATTAACTTAGCACCGTAATCAAATGAACACTAATTTACAATCTCGTCCATTAGAAGTTACGCGGCCATATTCAACAACCGTTTAAAATTCTATAGTGATGAAAGTATGAGTAGATGCGCTTAATATTAATGAATGTTGTAGAAGAAAAAACAATGAATGTTTACAGACAACGTCATTCTCGGCGGCGCGAGGAACGCGCAAATCATGATCGTGAAATATCTGTCGCACAGGATAATGATCGTTATTGTGATCGAGAGCGTGACCGCGATCGGGATCGCGATCATGACCGTGACCGTGATAGAGACCGAGACCGCGATCGTCGTCGTCACCACCACCGACACAGGGACGATGTGCCATCAAGAGACCGTGATAAGTTAGTTAAATCAGTCATATCTTCTAGTCTATTTCATTCTAATTTATTTAGCTCCATTACTCTTTCTTAATTTCAAATTATAGGTATACTTAAATACCTTTTGGTACCATATTTTATTTTCAAAAAATATTTACTTATTTATTAGTAATCTATAAACTCCTAGATGATTCAATAAGCATGTGGTCGAACAAGATGAATCGCCCAAAAACCCAATTGGTCTAAAAAGCAAATAGTCACACGTCCAAAATTTACCTAAAAGTGGCACACTCGTAAATTATTTTTATAATAATTGAAGTTTGGTTTTTTAGAGAATCTAAAGACGTGACTCCTGCTCTCGTCAATCAAACAATGCTTTTCGAGACGTTTGCCAAAATATGCGCGCAAATAAACGACAAGGATGCTCGTGGCAATGCTCCCCAATCTCCTCTGGTAATTATTGTACTGTAAAAATATAATTTAGCTTACCGTAGGTGTTTACCAGCTGTAAATACGTGAACAGGCAATATCTTTTATAATAAAACAAAAGTATAGGTATATACAAATGCAACTAAATGCATGCAATAAATATGAAGTTTACGGGTACTAACATAATAAGGAATTTAATCCCTGTTCAAAGTTCAAAATTTTGTCCCATTCTGTTCACCAGTAGGACCATCTGGGTTCTGAGAGGAACTGTTTTTGAAGGGTGATGTACCTATATCAAAAGTACCCAAAATTTCGTATTAACAACTTAGTATCTTGATGACCGAGCTTTGTTCGTTATTTTTTTTATTTGGCAAATTGTCTAAAAATGAAACCTAGCTAGTTTGATTAATCGCCTCTAAAACCCCCTGCGTACTAAATTTCATGAAAATCGTTGGAGCCGTTTCGGAGATTCAGATTATATATATATTTTATTGACTCTGTCGTTTAAAAGAATTATAAAGTTTATAATGTTAATGAAAATAAGAAAAACATAGTAATACCAAACATTCCTATCAGTTCATTTACAAGTAGGTACCGCTCTCTAACACGGCTTGCAAGTTCTCAAACAGTCAGTAGCCTTAACTTTTTCTGATACTTGGTTAGGTGTGGAGAAGTTTTATTTAAATCCCAACCTTCATTTTTATGTCGGGATTTATAGGTACGTACCCAGAGTCACAAATCCCTGCAATGCGAGGTCATCTCTGGCCATGATCCGTACGAGGTTGATCGACAACCTGTCCGATTGAACAGTCACACAAGATCGAGAGATTTAGTTGCTAACAGAATACGTAGCCAGGAGGACTGTTCGAACAGAATGCGAAGTTATGAAAAACTGGTTCTACCTAACGATATGGATAGGTCTAATCAAGAAAAATGTATGTATTATTACAAAGAGCCGCCCAGATATCAGAGTAAACTGGACGTGGCCAGATCAAGAACTCATCACATCGAAGATGACAGATTTCGGGAATATCCACATGTGCTACCGATGGTACCAACTCGAAGCTGCATAAACCCTTATAGACGACAACCAGAAAGCAGGGACTATCGAGATTACGATGGAGACAATAGGGGAAGGCATTACGAAGATGATAGAAAATATTGTGAGCATAAAACCAGTAGGAGCTTTGAAGTCCGTAGGGACTGTCATGAGAATGAAAGAATCAGAAGGTCGGCCCGTACCGATCCTAGAGAGAGAAGATTCGATGAAAGAGAAAAAAGAATCGATGAAACGTCAAAGTATTACGATGAAAAGCCTTTGGATCCCCGCGAAAGGATGAATAGTATTACGGGCAAAGATCGGCGTTGGAAAAAGAATTTTGAGCGGTTTGAAAGGAATTCTGTAACGTCAAGGGACGATGATTATAATAGGGAGAGAGATAGATACTCTGAAAGAGAAAGAGATTCAGGGTTGAGTGTGGCAGATGGCGATACAAGTACTATCAGTGGAAGGAGCAATTATTTGAAGGTTGTCAAGGTATGACTATTATTTTGTCTATAAGCAATTGAGTACTACTGTGAATTACGATGACATGTAATATAAAAGTTTGTTCATTGTAAATATTATTTGGGGAATTGAGTAAGGTTCAGATTGATAGAACTATATAGATTGATAGCCTCGGTGGGGCAGACGTATGCAACTGCTGTGCCGAGGTCGTGGGTTCGATTCCCGGGTCGGACCAAATGTTTGTATGATCTGCAAATATGTATTTGTTGTCGGAGTTTGGGTGTTTTCTATGTATAATATGTATTTATTTACAAAAAAAGTATAAAAGTATTGTATATCAGTCATTCTAGCTTTCATAGTTCAAGCTCTGCTTAGTTTTAAACTAGATGGCGTTGTGTCAGATGTCCAAAAATATATATTAATATTAAAGTATTATTTATTCTATGGGACGCATAAGCTATTGTTTACAACATCCTGTAAAATCTATTACAGCAACAAATATCGGAACAACGTGAAGCTATGGACAAGATGATGAAACTGTGGAAGGAACTGATGCGGTGCTTCAAAGGTATATCGCAGACCCAAGGGCAAGATAAAAACGTTCAGGTTAGCAGTTAGATCTTACCGTTTGCTTTTCACTTTTTTTTTGAACGTAGGTTCTAATTTAATGTGTGCCTTATTATATATTAGCTAACGTCGTCTGCGTCTTGCAGAAGGAATAAATTTTCCCCGTTTTTGTAACATTTTTCATTGATTTTCGGCACAGACAGCCCATAAAGCCCATAGTCTTCCTCCATAAATGGACTACACACTATACTAAGCACTAAATATTTATATGTACTAATGTTATATGTATATTCATATGTTAGCTTTATATATTTATTACAATATACACCCACCTACTTATACTCGTATGTATATGCATACAAACTGTGTAACAGTTTTACTCGTCTGAGGGCCATGAAGCGGCACATATGGGGGCGGCGGTTCAACCATACTGACACCACGGCACGGTCCACACAAAACCGCTAAGCAATTGTTTTGTTGCTTTTCATCGAGTGAGTTACCGAAGGATGTTATAGGTTCTACCTAGTTTGGGATCATTGCCTCAATTCTGCTATATTAATATTGTGTCAATAGACTGACGATGGAATATCGTCGGAATAATTTTGCGAAAAGGGCAAAACTATTCCGACGATATTCCATTCTATTCTACTAATTATGTAAGACCAGTGGCCGATGACTTGTCACTGATACAAATGTCTTCGATGTTTTGTAAACGGTACATTATAAATTTGTAAGAAAATGATATAATTTTCCAGGTATGGCAACGTTGTTGATATCACCATTGATGGCCTTTATTACTACATCGACAGTCTTTTGACACTGTGAATTTATGTTAGTACAATACTGATATTTTGACCGATGTCAATGGCGTCTCAATGAGATTTGAATAGCGTGTCAATGGAATGACAATGCCTTGGCCTTAACATAAAATAGCCAAAATTGAGGCCCAAATGGCCTTATGGTGGTGTTATATTTCACTGTTTAACTATGCGCAGGAGTCTGCAGCAAATGCTCAAGAGTCAGCGACAGAGCAGATGCGTTTGTGGTGGGAGTGCATGCGACGTTACGAGACTGTTGCCAGGGACGTTGGTGACACGGATGCAAGGCTCATGGTACAATTTCTAGTCACGATTATCGGTCATCATTTCTCTCTATGTTATGGGAATATCTACATTTTAAAGTTTGTATTAATAACATTTTCCTAAAGTGAACTGAAAGCAGGGATCTCGAATCTTTACGTAAAACTAAAATATCCACGCATTGCTTCTCACAAATATCAGCCTCACCACTTTTTTTGTAATTCTTTCTACTTTTTATATCTCAGAATACCGAAGTATTAAACAATAGGTTTAAGATTACCTTAATCACAAGTTCTCATTCTATTCGACGTATTATTTTGCAGGAAGAAATTAAGAAGCAGCGTTCCGAAATGGCGGAGATGGCGACCATGTGGCAGGAATGTTTGCAACGATACCGTGATATAAGCAATGATTTTAACAGCCTCAAGCAACAGGTAAATACTTACAAACTTATTATAATATTTAGATTATATTGTAGGATAGGTATTACTGTATTACTCTACTGCTAGTCAGTCACGGCAGTTTCACTTCTAAGGACTTTAGCGTGGTGTTACGTAGCCCATATAATTCAGTGTATAATTTGAGTAAAACAAAAACAAAAAACCAACTAGTCTGTTTACCTGTTTGATAATAAATAAATTAATTTATACGCTTGCTTTCAATTCAATTATAAGGATAAAGTCAAAACCCAAAAAAGTCGAACACGCAAAAAGTTGAAATTTAAACACGTACTAAGGTCTAACACGTACTAAGTCTTAACTCGCATAGTTACAGAAGGCAATGAAATCGGACACCATTATGAATTATAACCATAACCATTACCCAAAACATGATATATTGAATTATTTGACTTAACGAAAGGGTAATAATTAGACTTGCAACGAATAGTATATTCGGCAGTATACCGAATACCGAATATTCGGCGAGGCCCCTGACCGAATAGCCGAATATTAGGCAAAAGTATTCGGCTGGATTTTAGCGCCAAAAACTTGTACAGACGTGAATTAAATTATTTACCTGTTTTATGTACCAATGACTACTTAATAAATGATTATAAAAGAAATGAGAACCTTACCCTTCTAAATGATGATTACCACAATAATTCAAATACATAGAATCCTCCATTTTTCCTATTCAGAAGATGATTATGTAGCTGTGTTATGCACCAATGACTACTTAAATGATTATAACAGAAATGAAAATATGAATATATACGTACTCAATCGATTTTAATTTTTCATTTTACCAATTATTTCTCAATGACAAAATATATTATTTAAGTATTCGGTATTCGGCCGAATAATATGTAGATATTCGGTATTCGGCCGAATATAATAAAAGCAGCCGAATAGGCCGAATACCGAATAGTAACCGAATATTCGTTGCAAGTCTAGTAATAATCATCACAAATGTACTTTTCTTAACCTGGCATGGCCTTGCATATGCGTTTTTGACATTTAGCAAAAACTTACATCCTCTTGTCGTTTTCACTGTTTGACCTGATGCGTATTTGACCTAGAACGTATGATTTTTTATTTGTTGATCTCTTCGTTTCTTTGCAAGTATGCTAGGTGAATTTTCATAAATGTGCTTGCTTGTGTTGAAAGGGCATGACTTTTGTGGTCAAAACCTCAAAAATTATCTCTATTTTACTAAAACAGTATTTTTTTATTAATACCAACTTTTATTTCTCGCAGTTGGTGACACCTGAGAGTCCAACTCGGATGCCTGCTGCGCCTCCTCTGTTGTGTGCTGAGGGCGAAGGCTCCATGATTCCTCAGTCTTATAGGATTCCGGTGTATCCTGGGGTAACAATTTCTATTCAACTTACATAGATTAGTCTGATTTATTGTAAAATTAAAAATATGGATTGGGTTTTTTTCTGACTTCTCCTTTTTTACTGGAAGTAGTATCCTACTTCCCGTGGTCGGTGATAAACGAGTTTTCAGTTATGATTATACAAAAAAGATTAATCCTTTAAGGCGAAGTAGATTTTTTAGGAAGCACAAGGAGAAGCGGTCTCATCATTAACATTTATTTTTAAGAACGAAGTTTCATATCGATGCTACATTTGTGTTAAGATTTTTATAACATTCCATCGTCCATTCGCATTCAGAAAACGGTGACGCATCGACCGAGCCTCTAGTTCGTACGAAACAAAAATTTCGTGGAACCAGATCGGTCAGGGGTCGAGGTTCTATCCGTGTATCATTATTTTTTTTAACGACTATAAACTATTATAATCGTTAGAATTATATCGCTCGAAACAGCAGCAACCGCAAGCGCCGATGCAGGCGCAGGCGGCGGGCGCGGGGTGCGCGGTGGGCGCGGGGGGCGCGGGCGGCACGTGCGGCGCGGCGGGCTTCGGGCCGGCACGTGCCGGGTCGCCGCTGCGCGGGCGCTCGTCGGCGCCGCCCGCGTGGTGGTGGTGCGACGCGCCGCCGCGCTCGCCGCGCCGCCGCTCCTCGCCCGACTCGCGCGCCTCGCGGGGCTCTCGCGACCGGGACAAGGACAAGCGCCACCGCCGCAAAGGTACACTCTCGCCCTGATAATCTAGTGATCGTTATTTATGTAACTTACGTTCTACGCAGTCCCTATGTCCTTCTGTATTTAGAAAATAATTATGGCGTGATATTTTTTGTAGATTTAGAAAAACGTTCGATGATCTTTTTACGAGGTACGTTTATTCCAAAAGTACATAGTCGACGAACGGACGTTACTCCTTGCTATTTTTACTTAACGCGTAATCCTTTACCTTACGTTACTTAGATGGATCCACAGTAAACTGCATGATTAAAACCTAATGTTCGTGAACTAATTTTTCAGATGATACGAGGTATAAGGATAAACCTTCGAAGCCGAGCGCTGCTCGGTCAGACCATAGACATCGAAAAAGATGATTGGCATAATGTATAAAATTTTTGTAAAAATGTTTTTAAATTATTTAAAGTTTATACAAAACAGTAAATAAGTACACTTGAAAGTTTGTGGTTAAGTCTAGGATGAAATTTTGCCTATACTTTTTGATGAATTGTATGCATGAAGTGATTTTGACGGTTATTTTTAGTAACTGAAATAAATGCCTATTAAGGATCCGTTTCTTTTACTTTTGTTACAATATGACCTTTGTTACCTTTGGCCTCATTCTTGATATCATTCGATATTACCGCCTACTTGTCTCTACAAATATACAAATATAATAGGTCTTTACCTATGAAATTGCCGTTTTGTATGCAATAAGTGAAAGTACGGTGCAAAGCTGGTTGCAGATGTGACCACCAGACCTTGCACCTACCGACTATTACTTTTCCAAAATTTAGACAACTTTTTAGTGGGTAAAAAATTCAATTCCCGAGAGGCAGTACAAACGACAGCCTTTAACGAGTTTGTTGCCTCCCGTCCAGCTGATTTTTACAAGAAAACTGCGTTGGCAAAGATGCGTCGATTGCATAGGTGATTACTTCAAATAACAGAAATAAAAAAGTGTGAAAAAATAAGTACTTTCACTTATTGCACACAAAACGGCAATTTCATAGGTAAAGACCTAATATTTAGCATATAGTTTTAACTGTTCTGACTTAGTTATTCTTAGACCCACCGTTTTACCGAATCCACTGTCCGTAATGTGGGGAATGGTAGGGATTTATTTGATTTCCAGAAGTACCGCGGCCAAAATGTTCGTCCTGTGGATGCGCGGTCACGTTGGTGTGTTGTTTGGGGGAGGCCCATGTCCGAATTATTCCATGACACCGGGGACACATGACGCTGATGACATAATTCACATAATTGACATAAAAAGTTACCAATTGTCCGCCCTTTCTTCCGTGTCGAAATCCCTTCGGATACCACCCGCCAGTGGTCATGTCGGACTAACCGACTAAAAACCGCACGCCGTCTTAGGTATCAGTAGCCGGGGATCCAGACCTATCGTGTGCTACTCTGAGGTGGACCCACCTTAAGCTTTGTATATTTAATCAGCAAGTTTTTTTATATAATTGTAGACTCAATAAAAAATGTATTTCTATAATTTCGTTGTAAAAAAATAAATCTGATGGCTTTTCAAATTCGTTTAGGATACCATTTAAATGCCACTACTTATAAATTTCTTTTTGGAACAGAGAAATGCTTGGTAAAAAGGTTCTTTAGGAGTAAGTGAGCGTAGTTTTGTATCAGGGCGTTGGCGTGTTCCGTATCTGAAGGATTTAACACTATAAAAATCAGTGGCAAATTTACCAGCAGGCTGAGTAGGCTGGAGCCTGCAGCAAAGGACACCGACAGCTTTGTATGGGACTTGGGCCAAGGGGTGGACATTTTTATATTGAAATAAAAACGTTACTAGGTAGTAGCTGAAACTATGTAGAAACCAATAATATAATTAATTTAGTATCCAGGCCTATAAAAAAAAAATACTTTGATTTTTGCAAACATTTAATTTCAATTGTCGTCACCATCACTTTCATACACAATCAAAATATTATCCAGAAACTGAGCTGGAGGAGTACATTCTCATACCTTGCCCAACTTAGATACCAGATTACAGACATAATGTGAGAGCTACAACCCACAGTTCTTCGACCAACAATGCAGTTACAGTAATACTCTTTAATTGCATTTAAATGCTCTATATTACTGTCAAATAATATATAAATATGTTTTCCTACTTATGTGTCAGCTTTGTATTTTGGCCCTTAATAATGTGCAATTGTCGGCTGAAGGAAGACTTGGCAAAAGGTTGCTGGTTCTTTCTATACAAACTTCGACTGTATATGAACCATCACTTCTTATGTGTTCTCCAAAATATGATCTAGCCTGTTTTATTTGATAAGTTCCACATGCTAACAAAACAAGTTCATTATATTCTAATCTTGGAAACATCAGATTATCCATACTGACATGAATGTCAAAGAATTGTGTCCGTCTCCTATTTAAATTATTTAATATGACATAATCAGTCATCATATTCTCCATATTTATTTTTTCTAGAATTCTGTTAAGTATCAAGCCTGCATCAGGTCTATCTGATATTATAGCGTGGAACCTATTTATCAAGGCAGCAGCTATTCTGAAATCTGATATTGCATGGGTTGAAGCAGTGTTAAAAAATTCACTTTGAAATAATTTATATGACATTTTGAAAATCCCATTCACTGCTTCAACCACCCATCTGCAAATAGTCACTGTTCGTGATTTATTTGCTGCTGCTGTCGATAACTGTGTTTGACCTTGTTGCAGACACAGCGGCACATGTACACTGTATTCACAGTCTTCTAATAAGGAAACACAATCTCTGAAACCCCTATCCAGAATAAAAACATCGCCAGGTTGAAAATACCTTCTTAAAGCAGTGGTATTATTTTTAAATTCATTAGACAATATATTTGCATCCGATGTTGTTGCTGGATATGGACCTAATACGTCTATAATATAACCATCTGAACATACCATCAAAAACGGCTTCATCAGGTTTCTATACTTGTGTAAAGAATAAGTATCTTTCTGGTACTTATAGTTGGAACTCTTCTGTATGTATAAATAGGTACCGTCCATTATAATTATGGGTTTCCTTTCTTCACCTCCAAAGAGCCCATTGGGTATAATCAGATTTCTCTCTGATATTTGGTCACGAGTTATGTGATTGATTCCTAGATTCCTAGGCACAAAGTCACAGAGTAGTACTTCACGCACTCTATTTATGTAGGTGCCCAAAGTGGTCCGAGGTACATTTAACAACATAGAAAGTCGCTCGTTAGAGTCACCAGTTCTTATTTTAATGAGAAATGCTGCAAGAGCTAAAGTGCTATTTGGCACCCTGTTTATATTAGGTACATCTGCTTTTATTTGCATAAACTGGTCCTTAGTTACTCCAGTCCAGTAATAAATTATGTCATCAGTCATTTGCTCCATTTTACTAAAATCTAAATGTAATTTCCTTTCTTTGACAAAGGAAGCAAAGTCTTGTATGTGACTAGCACTAAAATAATGAAGGGACTGACTATCATCTTCAATTATATGCAAATTGTCATTTCGTAGATGGAATTGGTAAATTCGACATTGCTGTGGGATATAATAATTATACTCTGTAAATATATGTACTCTCAGCCACTTGGGAATCCTCAATCTCTCTTCAGAGTTACAGCCAGGGAAAAAACATTGTGATTGGGTATCAGCCGCTCTTCTCAAATCCGGTAAATGGATGGTTCCTTCTGAATTCTGGATTTCACCTTCACCTTCACTAACTCTCTCCACATTTCGAGTAACTTGCCTATTAGCTCTTTGCCAACAAGGATGACAAATTCTGTCAGATGCTCTCAACTAAAACAAAAATAAAATGGTATTGGATTTTTTTCTTAACTTATAGAATGCAATATAATCCTTACTGCATGTCAACTTGTCTTATTTTTGTATAGGTACTCATTTTAATTGAACTAGATAAATAACACTAGCTATTTGCATATCTCACAGTATTATGGGGAGATCATAGATTCACAGAACTTTACTTTTAAAGAAAACTACTGCAGGCTACTGTATTGCAAGAAGTAGTATAATTATGTTACACTTACACTTCATTTATTACTAAACTACCATTTTAAACATAATTATCTGTTATGAGAAATAAGAAAACTTACCTCGAGTGGATCAATCCAATGTACAATAACATTTCTTATGCGTCTCTCCCGCTCTGAGTCAAAGTTAAGGTTATGAGACCTATGTCTCATAAGCGATGATTTGCAGCTTACACATAGTTGTCTCTGACGCCCTGAGTCAGAACTTGATGAGGCTTCTTCATTTGGGATTGACACATTAGGAGTGTTCAATGCCACAGTCCAACATGAATGACATATTTGACTGTGACCTTCAATCTGTGGACAAATCAAAAATAAAAGTCAGCATTTATTACTTTTTGTTCATTAGATATATTATGCATTCAAAATAGTATTTAGTGCATTTACATTCACTACCCATTTAAGTTGAAACATAAAATACTTACTACTTGCGGTGCAATCCATTGAAGAATTACATGTCGCACTTCAACTAAGTTAAGACTATGTCTCCTTCTATGAGTCACATCAGAAGCACAATTGATGCAACGTATGGATTCATCATTATTAGGCATATTCAGAAAATCCGTGTTCAGGCATAAGTCGTCATGCAAATCAGGTTCAACATCCAATGAATTGCCAGGGTCAACGTTTGAAGAGGGTACAGGGTCCAAAAGTAAGCCGGGGTTGTCGTGAGAAGAATTATTAAAATCCATTTTGAATACAATATCCAAAAATAAACAAATAACAAATAGTAATACCGTGCGCGCCTAAGCCAATGCCAGACATGACATTAGTCAAATGTTGTTAGAGTAAGAAAAAATATACCCATGTGCTGTTTAATATTCTTCATCATAATTTATTTTTAGACATATATTTTGTCTTAAAAGGAGATGTATATATATAGAAAATATAAATAATTATATCTTGTAGGTATTACAGACTTCAAAGTACTTTTTAAGTGAGACTATAATTTATTAGTGTGTTTTTTTTAATCACTTTTTCCACTACTTATTTTTTGTATGCAACACTTCGACACGTTTCGCGCACAAAATGAATGGATGTACGTCATAAATAATGATAAATATTTTGAAATACTTTTTTTATATATGTTCACTTGATACTACCAAATTGTACTCATAATTATTTTATAATAAAAGAAAATTATGACCATTTTCATTTATTTATAAAACTGCTGTACGCACCTTGGCCCAAATCGGTCAGCCTCCTTTGACCCAATTTATTTTTATCATAGAAATGAAAGAAAAGCATTATTATATACACGGAGTTGTCTCGGATATAAAAATAATAACGATATTTTGGTGCTAAACTTGAAACATCTGTATATAATATAGTTATTTTGATGGACTGCGTGATGATAATTGTGGTGTACGATTTATTTTATAATCTCAGTATACAATATATAACAATATTTTTTTTTGGAAAAAAAGCTGTGAGACGTTGAGATAAAAGATTTATAACCAGTCGCTACTTGTTAACCAGTCTCATCATCATCATCAACAGCCTATAAAAGTCCACTGCTGAACATAGGCCTTAGAAAGGAGGTTTTGGCTTACTCCAGCCTCAGCGATGCTTAATGGTTGGTGAATGTGACACAAATGGTTCCAAACCAACTAGACTCCAATTACGTTAGCAGCAAAAAAGTATAACTATAATATTAGCCCTGGCTTCAATAATAATATTTGATTGCATTTTGAATATAGATATGCCTTCTTTCCTGTATGCGACCAATTGTTGGGAGAGCCAAAGCGGCGCAAGATTTTATATGACGCAGTAACCGAACTTAACGCATTTTTGTCTAAAATAAATATATTGTCTGAAGCGCATCTCCCACTTCACGATAAAAATCTGCAGCAATCGTACCCGAAAGATCTTGCGGAAGATTTACAAAAAAAATGTGTTCTCTTAAAACATTTTTGAAATCGACTGAACAAAATATGAGCTCGAGACAAGCTTTTCCATACACGGAAATTGCGCTACGCATCTTTTTATGCACTGCACTGATACAGAAAGATCATTTTCGGTTCTGAAAAGAGAAGAACTATCTTCGCTCACGGATTTTTGAAGAATGTTTAAATAGTTTAGCGATTCTCAATATTGAAGCCGATTAAACAAAGCATCTAAGTAACGAAATCATCATTAATGACTTTGTAAATAAAATTTGTGCACTGCAAAAAAAAATGTAGACTTTATTGAAATTAAAAAAAAAATAAAAAAAATAATCGTTTTTCTCTTGGCTTCTGGGGCGGCTAAACTTTTTGGTCCGGGCGCCCAATTTCAAGATACGTCCCTGGCTCTGCTTAGTTCGCTTTTAGCCGGCTCTTACGACTGCCACGGGAGAATAATAATAATAATACAAGTTACATCTCACCTTCTTTATATGGATGATTTGAAACTGTAAGCCTCCAACAAATTCCAATTGACAAAGTTACTAAAAGTGACGGAAAACTTTAGTAATTCTATCAAAATGGAATTTGGTGTAGACAAGTGTGCAGTCATGTATGTAAAGAAGGGTGTGATAGTTGAATCTGAAGGAACAGAGCTTTCAGATTCAACAAAACTCAGATCTCTGTCTGAAACTGAAACTTACAAGTATCTGGGTATATCACAGTCGTTGGGAATACCAGAATCTAACATGAAACAAACATTGCAGGAACGCTTTTTTGGCCGCTTGAAAAAAGTACTTAAAGGTCTTTTATCCTATTCCTTTGGTATACTTAGATGGACTCAGATCGAATTAGATGCCCTTGACAGGAAAGTCCGTACACTGCTGACTGCATCCCGAATGCACCACCCACGTACATCAGTTATGAGATTGTATATCCTGCGAAAGCTTGGGGGTCGCGGAGTATTAAATATCAAGACCCTACATAATCGCGAGATATGCAATCTCAGAGAATATTTTCTACATACCGATGTGGAAGTGCATCGCAATGTAGTTGCAGTGGATACCGGATTCACCCCGCTCGCTCTGGCTAAAGAGAATTGGCGCAGAACTGTAGTACTTAGTGTTAATGATCGCAGGGAAGTATGGAAGGGCAAAGAGCTCCATGGTCGGTTTTATCGGGCCCTAAACGGGTCCGATATAGATTTAAAAGCATCTACGACTTGGCTACGGTATGGTGATCTTTTCGGAGAAACTGAAGGTTTTGTTTGTGCGATTATGGACGAAGTTATCATGACGAATAATTATCGGAAACAAGCAAAAAGGCAGATTTAATGGCGTGGTTACAAAGAAAAGGCGTAGAGGCTGACATGAATTTATTGAAAGCTGAACTGCTGGAATTAGTAAAACAAAATAAACCTGCAAAATTAAGATATAAAATCGATGAATTGGCACTTCAACATGGTCACAAATTGATAAGAACGCCGCCGTACCATTGTCAGTACATTCATTGAATTAATCTGGGCACAGGTCAAAGGATACGCAGCACGTCATAATACAAAGCCACTGTTCTCCACTAAGAATATGATGACATTGTTAAAAGAAGCTTGTGATAAAATACGAGTAACTAAAGAAGATTGGGCAAAAGTGGTAGAAAAGACGCGAAAAATATTAAAGGACGATTATGATAGAGACGTCAATATTGATAACTAGTTGACCCGCGCAACTTCGTCTGCGTCTCTCAATAGTAATAAATTTTCTCCGTTTTTGAAACATTCTTCATTGGTGCTCCGCTCCTATTGGTCTTAGCGTGATGATATATAGCCTATAGCCTTCCTCGATAATTGGGCTATCTAACACTGAAAGAATTTTTCAAATCGGACCAGTAGTTCCTGAGATTAGCGTGTTCAAACAAACAAACAAACTCTTCAGCTTTATAATATTAGTAAAGATATTATAGAAAATGAAATAATTATATATACAGGCGACGATAGCTCATCTGGCTCGTCATCAGAAGAAAATGATTGATTTCACTTTTCTTGATTTTGTTGTGATTGAGCTAAATTTTTAAATTAAAGACAAATTGACTTTTCTTTCCATTGTATGATTTCAATTGCCTATAACATTAAAGTTTAAGTTATATGTTCTAATTATAACTTAAATCCAATGCACTTTGTGATATATAGTCAAATCAATCAAATACTCTACAAGCTTGAATCGATTCATTGTAAGTATCGTGCACCGAGTCGTATGGTCAATCACTAGTTACGCCACCATGACAAATGTCAAAACGGGCTTCTTATTTTGTGACGACTGTAGTAAATAATGATTGCGACTTGTTTACGTGAGAGTTTTAACAATTATTTCATTTGGTTTAACTTGTATTTGTATTGTAAATGCCATCATTACTCTTCCAATATTAAGATAAGACACTAGTGTGATAGAAACTGTATCAACCTCATAATGTTTTTTAAAATAATTAATCTTGCGAATTTAACATTGTTGGTGGCGCTTTTGCTTGCTTTTATAGGTGTAACTTTAATAATAAAGATGTTTCGACAGGCAACTCACAGAAATTACGTGTCAAACGTTAAAATAAAAGATAAAGTAGTGATTATAACAGGCTCTAATACTGGTGTGGGATACGCGACTGCTGAAGACTTAGCAATGCGTGGTGCTAAAGTAATACTTGCATGTCGGAACCCCCAGAGAGGATTGGCAGCCAGAGACAAGATAATACAGTCAACAGGAAATAAGAAGATTATTTTTAAGCAACTAGATCTATCATCTTTCAAATCAGTTCGTGATTTCGCTGATGACATTTTAAAAAGTGAATCGAGGCTCGACATTTTGATCAACAATGCCGGCATATTGAACGTTGGTAATTATCTGACGGCGGACAAACTGCCAATAGAAGCACAAGTCAATCATTTCAGCCCATTTCTGCTAACAATGCTCCTGTTACCTTTATTAAAATCATCAGCGCCCAGTCGGATTATAAACGTATCGTCAATATTCTACATTTTCGGGAATGTTGACAACTTGGATAAACAAACAAAATCTTCTATTTTAGGTCGTTATGTGGAGCGTGTTTATTCCAATACAAAGTTAGCTAACATATTGTTTACTAGGAAATTGAGTGAACACTTAAAAAGTACGAGGGTCACTGCAAACTGTTTGCATCCAGGCGCTGTGTCAACTGATTTGTTTAGAAACCGCCGTTTCACAGATTTATGGTTCTCGTGGTTTATTAATCTGACTGCAAATCAAGGAGCACAGACATCTATTTACCTGGCCATTGATCCCAGTTTGGATTCAGTTAGCGGCAAATACTTTTCGAATTGCAGAGAGGTAACTCCGATAAAGAAAGCCCGTGATGACAACGCTGCTGAAAGGCTGTGGTCGTTATCTGAAGATATAGTGTTCAGCAAAAACAAAGAATTGTAGTTTAAACCTGAATCATTAACTTATAATTTGCATATGATTTCGTTTCAAAATATTTTATTTTATATTCCGTACACAGGAGACAAAACTAACAGTGTAACAATCAGACAAAAGTAACGAATCAAAATCTTGTTCTTGCAACATAAACAATGATGTGATTATCTTATACATATTTAAAAAAGGAGAAATAATTAACTTGAATAATAATTTCAGAAATTAGTGTACAACAAACAAAAAATAATCTACATGATCGGTCGAGTCCCATTATGGCGATGCTAGATTTTAATGTATGTATACGTAAATTACATTACAATAAATTTTATAAAATTATATCGCTTACTATTTTTACTATAATATGGAACTATGATTGATATTGATCTTTAACTATCGGTCGCATTCAAGATATTATTATTAAATGGTATAGAGTAGTTATTAAGAATGGTTAACATACAGTGAAGCCTCAAAAAAAAAATGTTTCGAAAAATAATAGCCTATGGATTATTGGAAACAGAAAATTGTTCGTAAATATTATCACTCTAGTGAGTCTGTATGTAGCAAATATATAATAATATGGGGTTACACTTCATCGTACGTCGGGTGACGTCACATGTGTTTATCATAGTTTTTTTACTATTCTTTAGTAATAATATTCGATGAGTCCAAATAGCTTGTTTTATTTAACTACATTCTTACATATTATAAAATGAAGTCCCCCGGCCGCGTCTGTCTGTCTGTATGAACGCGATAAACTCAAAAACTGCCGAACGGATTTTTGTACGGTTTTCACCAATTGATTCCTGAGAAGGGTTTAGGTATTTAATTCATAATGGTTTTATGACTGAAATTTAACGATTATTGTTGAAGAGGTCGTAAAAAATCTTATGCCATATAAACCGGCCGAAATAAAGGTTCACGTTTACCGAAATCCTCACGGGCCAAGTTGCGGGCGGAAGCTAGGATGAAATAAATTGAGTATTAATATAAATATGTTTCCGAAATTTGTCCCCTGCGAGCCTCGTCTTATGTGTGCTAGGGAGATTATCACGTAACTTGCAAAAAGTATTTAGGTACCGACCTTACATCAAGTTGACTACATATTTTATATATTCATTGCTTTGCTGCATACCAAATTAAGAATATTTAACTTTGACAAATTAATCACGTTCGGTCTAAAGGTGAACTTAATTAAAGTGTTAATATTCATAAGCCATCCATGACTGACAATAATATTCCAATTTGTTTTATTTAAAACACTATTAATTTTATTTCAGTATCGTGTTTAAGAAGTAAAACTATTTTCTTTTTTGCTATCAAAATAATGAGCTTAACAGAATGTCGTTTCCTACAGAAAAAAAACAGTTGTAAACAGGATTATGAGGCACTTAACCTAGTGCCGTACTAACAACTCTTGAAATTCGTAAACTTTAGTTAGATATTTTTTCTTTGTATTCATTCGTGTAAACTTTTGCTCCAATCGATATTTAAGGATTGACATAAGAAGTTATAAATCATTTTATAAAACTTACAATGATCAACTTCGAGACAAAACGTAAATAACCTCACACGAACAAACAAGTACTCATACTGGGTACTTTAAGATCCTTTTAATATCCTGGCGGATATGGACGCGAGGGTCTATGACCAGACTCGAGCGATCTGTCGGGGTGTGAGCGGTTAAGTCCAGGACGGGCTCGAAATTCGGCGGATTTTCTCGCTCCAAAACTTTACGTAAGAAAATAGCACTATGTATGAATGTTGACCTCTTTCTGCTTTGTAAGCTGAAAGTGTCAATAAATGTTGTAAATAGATTTTGCAGGTTATGAATCCATAAGTAATTCTGTTACATGAGAGTGCTGGTTATGTAGGTTTAATTTCCGTTAGTTATATCTTTTCTGAAATTTCGAAGGGAAGTGCATAGTATTTCCTGAATGAATGATATCAAGCTGCTAAGGTCGCAAAAACACCTTACACACGGTAGAACTTACTGACGACATAACAAACAATGAAATAAAACAAGATCGTGTATGACTGAATATTATATATTTAAGCTCGTTATAAGTACTAGTTAAATTGACTTCTTGTCCCGAAAAATAAGACTCTCTGACATCTTCCACAACTTGTCAGCCGCTTCATCGTCTTGAGCCTTTTTGGAAGGAGTTACTTCGGTACAGTTAGAAAAGTATTTGCCGCTCACTGACTTTAGGTTGGGTGCCACGGCTAGATATATCGATGTCTGAGCTCCTTGGAATGGAGTCAGGAATACGATACTGAGTAAAAACCTGACGAAAAACCACTGGCTCCTAAATATATCAGTATTGACTGCTCCAGGGTGTAAACTGTTTACCGTGACACCAGTTCCACTTAGAATTTCGCTTAACTTTTTTGTAAAAAGTAAATTAGCCAGTTTCGTGTTAGAATACACTCTCCTATGCTGCCAGCGATTCTTTGCCTGTCGGTCCAACCAATCAATAGTTCCGAATTTGTGCATAATGGATGATACATTTATAATACGGCTAGGCGCCGATGATTTTAACAACGGCAACAGGAGTATCGTGAGCAAAAATGGGCTAAAATGATTAACTTGTGCTTCTATTGGCAGGTTATCGCGTGTTAAAGAATTATCTAGCGTGCCAGTACCAGCATTATTGATTAAAACATCTAGTTTTGGTTCGGTTTTTAAAATTTCAGAAGCGAATTCTTGAACTGATATAAAAGATGTTAAATCCAATGGTTTCAAGAAAACGTTTTTATTTCCTGTTGATTGTATTATTTTATCTCTTGCCGCTAGTCCCTTCTGTGGGTCTCTACAAGCGAGTATTACCTTGGCTTCTCGTTTCGCCAATTCTTTTGCAGTAACAAATCCTATTCCAGTATTTGCACCCGTTATGATAACAACTTTATCTTTCATTTTATTATCGGCTACATACATTTTAAGGCTTAACTTTTGATAAATCTTCAAAATAATTATACTAAACACGACTATAATAAATGGCACAAACATTTTGAGACTTTGGTTTTTGTAAAATAAATTGAATGCAATATCTTATAAGACTGGTTGTACACACTCGCCTGTCTAGTTTCTAAATCTCTTGTTTATTTAAATGCCGACTATTTTAGCACACGTTCAACATTAAATCTTAATGCATCACAAAGTTACATTTACTGTAAAAACCAACATGGGGAACGGTCCTAATGTTTTTACTTTTATTAATATCCTTCTCACGTCAACAACAAAACCGTAACTGAGTGTTCTGTTTGACAAATGAATAAATGACAGGAGGACAGATAAAAAAACAAGGGTGTTGATTCTTATTTATTTTCCATCAATCATTTATCTATTTCAAAGTATTTATTCTTTTTTTTAAGTGTTTATAACCGCGAAATAAGAAAACATTATATTATTTTGTGTTCTATATAATTGAAAAACTATTAGGCATTTTTAAAAATGAATTTGTTTTGTCTCTGTCCAGATTGTAGATGCGAAACCATGGAGCGAAATATACCCCTGTATATTTCGCTCCATGGTTTCGCATCTACAAGGGATATAGCCCGCTCTTTCCACTGGAATCCCCTGACTCATTCCCCAGGGGATTGTACAACACTTATTATTCCACTTCGATCCCCCAGGGGATTACACAACATTGAACATTCCAATCCGATCCCCTTTTTTTTTTCTGTGCGGAAATCCCTTCTGACACTATAATGCTGGTGCCGTACCCTAGGAAAGAAATCCCTGGTACGGCTTGTAGATAACCCCCTCATGTGTGGGAATCAGTGCGGGTGTAAACGCAAATATCACAGTCGGTCAATATATGATAAAAATGTTAAAAAATAAACTATATTTGATATTTAATCAACCTTTTGTTTTTGGTTTATAAGGAGTGTGAAGACACTAAAAAGGAAATAAATTAATTAGTATTTGAATAGTCGCCAGCACAGGGGTCGAAGTGGAATAGTGAGTACTGTACAATTTCCTGGTAGATTGAGTGATGGGATTCAAGTGGAAAGAGCGATGTAGCCCCGTGTTAGCCGCTGGTTTTAAAATGTGTATGCAGATAAAGCGGTTTCTATGGTTTTGCTCTTGTAATATAAACAGGTACAATAGTAGTAGATATATCGAATTTGATACGATATGATTTACTTAAGTATTTATTTAGTGAGGTTATAATAATAGCCTTTATTTAGACACAAAAAAGGATTTTACAAAGTAATAATCTTAATCATCGACAACTTCGTCTGTTTGCCTAACTTTGGCAAAGGCCTCATCTATTTCTTTCCACTCTACTCGGTTTAGAGCTTTCCTTGTCCATAGTTTTCCTGCCATCGCCTTTATCTCGTCTTCAAATCTTCGAATCTGTCTGTTTCACTTTTCGATGCCTCTTATTGTATGTCCTGCCCATTGACATTTAAGTTTCCGTATTCTAGTTGTAACGTTTTGTATTTTAGTGCGATTTTCGATGGTATATTTCGTACTCTGTCTGAATTTCATAAATTCAGCATGCTTCTCTCTATTGCTGTTTGGCAAGTTTCTAATTTTTGGCTTTGCTTTGGTGAGAGCCCAGGTTTAGCAGCCATAGGTGAGAACTAGTAGTACGCAGGAGTTGTACAGTTTTGATTTGCCTGACATCTTGATTTCTTTGTTATTTATAATATCTTTTAGCCGCCAGTAGCACGTTCTATTGACTATTTCCTTTGATATTATATCAGTAGTTGAAATTTGTTGGCCTAAGTAAGTGTACTCTTTGACATACTCAATTGGTACGCCGTTTATGATAATGGAATCTTCGGACGCATTTGTTAATGTATGTAGTTTTGGAGGCGTTCATCGTTAGGCGTTATCGTTATAAATAGTCTATAAGCATGTTTTGTGGGTGCTTCTTTGCTTCGGCGAATAATATAATGTCGTCAGCGAACCGTAAGTTTTATAGTCCTTCCCCGTTTATGTTTAGCTAATAATGATCCTAATTTAATTTCCGGAGGATTTCTTCTAGGACAGCTGTGAATAATTTGGGCGATTGGGCTGTGAATAATTTGGGCGAATATGGGCTGTTTATTTTTATTTCCTTCCCTTCTTTTTCTAACTTGATTTTAGCTGTACTGTTAGTACGTTTTTTCATTATTCTGATGTACTTTTGTTCGACTTCTTGGTTCTTTAAACAATGACTTGTTGTAGTCCATAAAATTTAAATATTCATTACAATAGAATGGCACATTAAACTTTTTGTTCTTCTCGATGATTTGTCTAATGTCGAATAACCTGCCCTAAAGCCGTTTCCTAGGCTGGTTTTTGTCTAGAGTTCTTGTAATTCGGGCTAAAATTATATTGGTAAAGATTTAAAAAAAAAATGACATTAGACTAATGGGTCTATAGTTATTTATTTCGGTCTTGCCACCCTTTTTGTGGAGCAGGATGATGGCTGATGCAGTCTACTGTAACGGAATAATTTCGGTATTTAATATTTAATTGAAAACACATGTTATAGTAGTGGTGCAACGTAGTTTCTGCAACTTCAAGGGCCTTTTTATACCACCGGTCTTGTTGCTGAACTTTTCAAAGATGTTGAGTCTAAGGTGTTCTCTATGTCTCTTATTTGTAATTTTATTTCTTTGCTCAATTTTCCTATTTCATTTCTCATAATTTTCGTTGTATTTGTTGACTTACTTAGGTCTTGCTATTAGTATTTCGTGTATTGTGTTGTATTTCTATTGGGTGCTTAAATGCTCAAGAGAGGATTCTCTCACAGAGTTGAGATTCTCTTTTATGGTGGCTATTCTTACGTTATGTGGTATTGTTGTTTTCGCTTTGACCGGCCGGCTTGGGTATAGAGCAGATGTTGTATTCACACATGTTCTAAGCATTCTATAGTTGTTAATAAAGTTGAGATTTGATAGTGCCACAGTCGTCAAATAATTTGGGTCTGTTCGTTAAGATGTAGTCTACCAGGACCAGGACGATTTCTTCTCCGTTTCTTGGTGCTCCAACTTTTGTATTAAAATCACCCATAACAATGTAGTTTTAGCGAGTGATTGTGAAATAAACTTACCCTAGGCCCACAGAGGGCTTAGTGCAAGTTTATTTTACATCCACTCTCCCTCGGCAGTGAGCACGGTCACCGTGACGATCGAGTCGATGGTAAATAAACTCACACTTCAGCCTAAGAGGCCCTAGGATTCTTCTGTTTTTTTCACTTCTACTTCTGTAGAAGTGAAAAAAACTTACACTAAGCCCTCTGAGCTGCGGTGATAAAGCCGTCGCGCGTCGGTGAAATAAAACGATGAGACGGTTTCGTAATTCTTTTTATGTAGAACAAGTTATTAAATGGACATTACAAATTATTAAATATCTAAATGTGTACATTAATAAATGTTTGATAATAAAACTTTGTCGTTTTAGCTAAAAAATGACAAAATTATTATTTTATTCAACTATAGGTACTGCCTTACATTGTTTGCACACTTCAGTCCCAGAAATCTAATATTACTTAGAAATTTGGATTGTGCGTTGCTAGGTAATCTACTAAATTTGTTTAGTAACTTAATTGCTAAATTCCTGTAGGTAAGAAAAACATGTGTACAAGAATTATAAGACTGTACCATTCTTACGTTTACACAACACTGTCAGTTTTTAGTAAAGATATATACAAATGTATATATTATGTGAAAATATATATTCGATTTCAGTCTCCAGAAAACATTGTTTCAAGTCATTCGTTTGCCCAAAATCGTTCGGGCAAGAAGACTCTGACGAAAGGGACATTCTTAAAACTATTTTACTTCTAATGATTAGAAAAAGTATTATAAATTATTTATACTTATTATCTATGAGACAATTCAAACAACACAATTACATTCCGCTAGATATATTTTTTAATATTTAGAAAGTTTAAGTGTCGTTTTTTGAATATGACACAGACATAGACATTTTTTAAGTTTCTAAAGACATTAAAAATATCACGGTCCAGGAAATAGTATTCTTCACTAAACATTAAATTGTGCATTCTTTTCAGAAACAGGCTTAATGCTTTATTGAATAAAGAGAGTTTTACTATTCAAATATAATAGAAATTTCATATTTTTTGCCTTTATTTCGTACTATAGGTACAGCGGTTTGGCAATTACCGATTTAGTAACATTCTTGCTGACATTGCCATTTAGTTTAAGAATACAATATTTCAGTCATTAATATTTAGTACATTTACAAAGGATCAAGAAATCACAAGCTTATCTTGTCTATTAACGACGAAATATATGGCTTCACCATAAATTTCCCCGAATTCGTAGGTAATTCATCCCTTAAACATCAATTTTGGATCTAGTATTTGAACGGATATCATTCAAATTATATTTTTATTAATAAATTATTATAAAATTTTCAAGCAAATCAAGGCAATATCCGCAAAAGCGTCCTTAAACAATTTAATTATTCATTCAATGTTAATATCATTTCGAACACATTGTTTTAAAAATGTGTTCGAAATCATGGTCATGGACGATAAACCACTTTATTTTTAATTCCGTAACAAGTCCATTTTTAATTAATTGTATTCCTATTTAGAATAAAAAGAAATCAGAGACAGTAAATTAAGAAGGCGGTGGATTATCTGGTCGCTTGTCATTGACATATCATTTTTAATTATTATGTAGATATTTCTAATTATTAATGACATGAAAATAAATAATTATTGTATCCATTTTACGATTTGAAATGACTATTATTACCATATTTTGTAATATTTGCCTTACACGGTCAAGTGTTAAAGATCATTCAATATATTCTTGCATATTATATAAATAATAAATTATTTATTAAATCTCGCATACCGCAGCTTCATCATATAAACGTCACACAATAAGTGCTATTTTCTACAATAATATAAAACTATTTCACGACATTTAGTAAATAGGTCATATGTGAAGAATACACTACAAAGGCAGTTTCGACGGAATATGTGGACTTAGGGTGCTAAAGAATATAACACTCATGGCAAAACTATTATACCTACACACGTATATTTTTCTACTAAGTAATAGAAAGTTTATAATAAAGTAGTTATTATATTCTGTTAAAATAAAATATCTCTACATACAATAATAAAGATAGATTACAAATATTCTAAAAGTTGGAAGAAACTTGAGGCATTTTTGTCGGGTACTGACGAATGTAAATTTTATTATAAAGATTAATTTTCATAATACGGAATATTTTTAATTGACACCAATGTTTAAAGCAGTATTTGTGTTTTATCAATGTGCTCATATCGTACATATTTTGATGATGAAATAATACGACTTTAAGAAAGTACCATTTCAATTGTAACGTGTGTTTTTTAATTAGATATATACATATATATATATAACGTTCCAAAGTACATTTATTAAATTATGTTCATTTATAGAAAACATACTTATGTGTTATATTCATTTTTATATTTAATATGAACCTTTAAATAACTGGATTTACTATTTAATATATTTTCATATGATGCACATTTATTTTCACATCTTATAGTAAAAAGGAACAATACATTCGTTAAAACAAATTTGTTGTTACACAAAATAGAAGTACACAGGTAAAATATAAACGTAACTCAATTTTGGGTAACTCGCTAAACTTTTGAATTCGGTTCTTTATCTTATTTACACAACAAAATCTTAGCACTTAAAGAATTAATTAATAAATATTGTTTTTAGATCATATTCACTTATTCCTTCACTTAGTTTTATCACTCAAGTCCATGTGAGCGCTAGGCGTGGATCAATAAACCTGAAATGTAGAAATAAAGCAATGTTAATAATTGTGTTTTACAATTAAGGAAGAATAAATGTTTCATATATAATGCATACAATTCAACAAAAATTATTTGCCTCATTATTTAATACGTGTTATAATATTATAATTATAGCAGTAAATTCAATAAAATAAATATGAAATGGCAGTGCTAAAATGCTGATTGCTTGATGACTTCATAATTTTCAGTTTAAAAAAATAAATTTTGATTCATTTTATGGGCTTGATAATCGATACTAGTTACACATACCGGTGCTGACAGCTTTTCTCAGTATTATGTTTGTATGATTACATTTATCCGTTATCATTTTGTGTCTGTCTCATTAGTAGACAGTTTTTACTTATGTCTAAAAGTATCTTAAAAGTCACATTGGTCATAATATAGAATCTATAACGCGGTAACTCTCAATGAAATAACAAAAACATCCTCTAGTGTGTGTTAGTGTTTGTTGGTTGTAAAGTTGAGATTAGGTATATTATGTGTTCTTAGCGTCAAAGGCAGGGCGGTTCGCTTGATAGTTATCTTTAAAAATAAATAATTTATAGGAATACCTCATATATATATATTAATTTACATTCACCGCTTATCGCTGGCAGTGTGTTACAATTTTGTTACATAAAGCAATGAGTCATACTGTGGTGGTCTCATTAGAGATTGTCAAGCATTTCATAAAACAATTGCATTGATAGAATATAATCAATAACAATATGAGTTTTACAAGAAACCAACGTCACTCAACTAAAAGGAATCGTGAAATCTCACTCTGTCGTCAGCAACACAACAACATTTTGCGGAATTCTGAGTAGTTAGGTGATGTTTATTCGAGTGTTTGGATTTTCCAAATGATTTTATAAAAAAAATAGAACCCCACCCGCGTCCAATGGTTAATAATTCAAATTTATTTTCAGAGCAGATTGTAATTTTAGTTGATTCGAGTCTGGTAAGATAGCATGAGGGTTACTATAGGAGAAAAAAGTTATCTTGATTTTTTATTATTGATAATCACCTTAACGCCATACGCCATCTCGTAGCCGCCCTTGCTCTGCATCTGATTCTGCATGGAGTGCAGCAGCGACGATGGGATGTCTACGTCTGTAGATCCTGGAACGTAAGCAATTTATACGTCATGAATCATTTAATTATTGGCTTAAAAACTCCATCTCCATCATAGGTGTATTGCCGCTTCCGCTCAAAATGAAGCGGGGCTTCACTCGACAAAAAGCTATGAAAGAATTGTTTAGCACCGCTTTTCGGTTTCCCACAGTTCGTGAGCAATATAGGATTGTCGTCTATTTATTCATGTCTGACTGTGGTCAGTCAAAAAGATTTGCGAATATCTACACGCAATAAGTTACTACCGCTTCGCCGTCCGCTAGCTTACCAAAACCGTGATTAAAAAAAAAGTGCAACCAGAGGAATGACGGATGGTATGTGTCGAATGCGCAACTTGGGAGAGAGCTATTTTAGGCAAAAATGTGAGTTCACTGACTCGAGTTTAACGAGTTTCTAGCGTCAAGTCATTACCAAGGATTGTAGTATTTCGAATGGAACTAGATGGTTCTTTTCAAAGTTATATATCTAAAAAGAATGTTTGCTTAGCCTTAAGGCATACATGTTTAACAATGTTATTTAAATTCAAGTCCAAATTTGAAGGATTGACTAATCAATCCTTCTAATCTGGATAGTCTGATGAAGTTATTCGCATGTCGGTTGAATGGTTCTCACATTCTCTGCAAAAATTCTAAATAAAACAAACTTTTTGAAAAAGGTTTTTAGTACTTTGTATCTTTTTATTTAAATTAATGCATGTTAATAACTAAGGGCGCAAAACAACGCAGGACACCAGCACCTAATAAAGAAGTAAAACTTGACACAAACCCTATACCAACCCGGCTGGCGTGGTATAGTAGGCCAAAACCTACTTTCAAGGAGAGGCCTATGTCCAGTAGTGGACTATTAAAAGCTGTTGATGATGTTAATAACGGATAAGTATTATAATGAAATTGTTAAGATCTTCTTATAGAAAAAACAAGTCATAGCATTGCATAGCTCTAACGAAACGAATGTAAAAATTGTTTTAAGGCCAAATCTAATTTTCTATGTATAATTACAAGGCACAGGCAATTCATATCTTTATATGTTTCTACCTCTTTTATAACATACATGTTACTATTTATTTTCTTATTAGCAGTAGCCAACAAAGTTTGCGCATATTTCCTAATGTAATGGCATTGTTATGTCATAATAAACTATATTAGTCCTTGGAACAAAGCGCGATTATCTAAAAAAAAACTTCGCTACATTTCGTGAGCTTGTCAAATTATGTAAGGACTTAAATTTATTTTTATTACTCACGTTCCGATGCTCACTTAAGTACTAAGATGTACATATCTCGTATATAATGTTGTATAACTATTGTTGTATTAACGTTATATGTAGGCATATATCTCAATATACTTTGAGTTATGTTCATCAACATTCAAATTAATAGTTTAAGTTATCAATTATAAGTTTTTATTGCTGTTTATTTTACTTCTATTATTTAATGCAAAGTTAGCTATTGCGCCAGAACGTCTAATCGGATCTGGATGAAATTTTGCAAAGAGATAAATTTTAGTCATGAAAATCACGTGGATTAATCTTAACTCGGAAATAGTTATAAATGTAATATATATATAAATTTTACAAATCGTTCTTTAAATAAACATCTATTTTATGAAGTACGCATTTTTACATAAGTCGTGTTCTACACTCGTGATTTTGTAGTACTATAAAATCAAAAGGTCAATTCACCTCTTTAAGTAACCAAAGCTAAGGTTCTCTGAATACTTCCACGATCCAGATTCTTTGTAGTAGAATCTTTGCTCATTAAAAAGGAATTAGTGAACATAAGCGAATATGGAATAGGCTTAATAAAGTAGAACATATTTCATCCAATGAATGTGATCTAAATCTTACGGGTCACGCAACGGATAATTATTGCCTGTTGGCAATTTGTAATTAACTAGAGAAGTTCAAGTACTAAACGAGTAAGATTTACGATAACAGTCAATAGTAAAATGGGCGTATAACAATGTAGTTCACTAGAACGATAGTAAACCATAGACAAGTTTCTTTTTTTTTAAAAGCAGTTGACTCCTTCAAATCGTATTACGAAAATGCCAAACTTTGGAGGGATGTCTTTTACTCAATCACGACAGTGGTTAAAAGAAACTGAATACAATTTGAGGTACTGAGGTACTCGTACCTAACTATTTTTTAACCTGGCAAAATGTATGTGTGAAACATACTTATAATTTTATAACACAGTAACAGTGTATTCCTGCAAAATAAATAATTTGAATTTCAATATGACAAAATGGACGTAAGAACGTGCGAAGCCGTAGACTAAAGCTGGTAAAAAAAAACACGTTAGTCAAGTGCGATCGATGTTTTTTTTTTCATCAAAGTTATTGGGATTAAACAACGATTTTGAGCAGCTCTAAGAGGTTAATAAAATCTAAATTTAAATAGGTTCTTTATTGAAACGCGTTAGGTTGACCAATTCAAAGAAAAAAAATATGTAAAGAAAGAAATATAAAAATAGTTCCTGGTAAAAAAAAACAGAAGCTCTATTCTTGACCGATATTATTGCTACTGCATTCACACGATTTCTATGTATATTGTTGAGTGACCTTTAAAATGTAATACGGTTAAAGACAATCACCTCCACCCAATCACCACCTCTCCAACATAGACCTTGGCTCGACTTGTCATAGATAAATATGAGCACCAGCGTTTTGTTACAAATGTTTCCTTAACACTGTAGATAATAAGGATGGAAAAAATCACAATCACCTACGATAAATCATATGATTTAAAAACCTGTGACTAATCTACAAAATTTCCATCACTGGTAGATAGTATTTAGCGATAGGGACTATCGATCCTCTTTGCATAGTTCCCTATCTTTTATCGCATGGAATCAAAGATTGGAGACCAAGACAAATAGATTTTTAGTAGCTTTTTAAAATATACTTTTTTTTTATGATGCACATCATAAATATATTTTTATCATTATATGGCTTCCATTACATCTGTTTCTATGACAGGATAAAAAAAATATGGTGTTTCAATTACAAGAATGTGCTGTGGTACCAGAAATTGCTTTTTAAAGGCTAACTTTTTTTTTTACGTGTGCAAACCCCCTCGGGCCGTCACCCCCACCGGGGTTTGCGGCAGGGTAACCTTTTTTTTTTTTTTTTTTTTTTTTTTTTAACGTGTGGAAATCCCCTCGGACCGTCACCCCTCCGGGGTTTGCGGCGGGGTGGTGTGTCGGACTCGGACCGACTAAAACCACACGGTGTGCCACTCTGCGCCTGTAACAGGAGGGATCCGGGAACAGCTGTTGTTAAGACATCCGGACCCCTCCTAGCGCCAGCCCGCTCCTGGTGCGGGCTCCGTCTCGATGTAGATGTTCCTCTCTTTAGGCGACGTCCGGCACACGCGGACGCCGCCCCCTCGCGGCTGGCCAACTAATGCGGGTGGAGGGGAAACCCACCCCGTCCACCCGCGGCCACACTCAGGGCGGCATGAGGCTGTGGTAGATCGGGTCCGAGTGGAGGTCGTCCTCCCGGGCCCTTTCCGCCGCCTCCTTCCGCGAGATTACTACCTCGCAGAAGGTTGCGACCGCGGTAAAACAACTGTCGCTACCGGCCATGGAGCGTACTACGGCCGGTAGCGAGAGATCCACTCCGATGACTGCAGTGAGGGCCCGGCGCTGCGTCGCCCATGCGGGGCAGACCGCCAGCGTGTGCTGGGCCGAGTCCTCACTGCAGTCGCAGTGGTGGCAGGCGGGACTCAGTTCCCTCCTAGCGACCGTGTGCAGGTACTTTCCGAAGCAACCGTGCCCGGAAAGCACCTGCGTCAGTCGGAAGGAAAGGGTCCCGTGCTGCCGCCCTGCCCACTCGGCGATGACCGGCTGGAGAGCCTCCACGGCGGCGAAGCCAGCGCGTGGAGTCTCCAGCCGGAACGACCAACGAGCCATCGTGGCTCGGCGAGCGGCTTCGCGCCACTCGCGCACATCCTCGGGCGGAGGGCGAAATCCGCTCTCCGCCCGGGAGTCAGCCACTCGCCGATAAACTTCGGCGAGCACTTCCGCCTCCAAATCCCACGGGGGAGTTCCGGCCAACGCGCATGCCACCTCCGTAGAAACGGTGCGGTAACCGCGTATGGCTCTGACCGCCATTACCCTCTGAGGGCGCCAGAGGCGTACCCTATTCTGGGCGGTCAGAGCCGCCGCCCACACCGGTGCACCGTACAGCGCCATTGACCGGACAACCCCCGTGTACAGCCGTCTTGTCGCGACGCTGGGTCCACCCATATTGGGCAAAAGTCGCCCTAGGGCAGACGCAGCGCCGACCAGCTTTGGAGCAAGCTGTCGGAAGTGCTCGTCGAAGAGCCACCTCCCGTCGAGGATCAGGCCCAGATATTTCATCTGGGCCCGAACCGGTACGAGGACCGAGTTGACCACGATTGAGGCGCCAGGGGGTGGACCACGACGGGGCCCATGAAATAACAGGGCCTCCGTCTTATCTAGGGCCACCCGTAAGCCCAGCGCCTCAATGCGCCCGACCACCAGGGAGACTCCCCCTGTGGCCAGGCGCGCCGCCTCTTGGAAGTTTGCCCCCCGGGCTGTCACGAGGGTATCGTCTGCGTAACAGATTACACCCAGCCCGGGGGGGAAATCGGCGCGAAGGGCCCAGTCGTACCCTATGTTCCACAAGAGGGGTCCAAGAACAGACCCCTGTGGAACACCGCACGACATGGGCCCACTCCTCAAATTACCTTCTCGGTCCTCGTACACGACGGTACGCTCCTCTAAATAGTCTGCCACCAGCCGCCTCAGGTACTTTGGCACCCCATGATAGTGGAGTGCTTCCCTGATGCAGCTGAATGGCAGACTATTGAATGCGTTGGCGATGTCCAATGACACCGCCAACAGCACGCCGCCACAGCTCACGGCCTCTTCGGTCACGGCCCTCAGGCGCAACACAGCGTCGACTGTCGAACGCCCCGCCCGAAAACCAAATTGGGCGTCCGACAGATCGGGGCCCACCTCGCAGAGGTGCCGGACGATGCGGGCAGAAAGAACCCTCTCAAACAATTTGCCCGCCTCGTCCAGCAGCACGATGGGCCTATAGGCCGCGACCGAATCGGCAGGCCGTCCCGGCTTCCTCAATAGGACCAGCTTCCCGCTCTTCCAGCACTCAGGGAAGCGTCCCGACGCCAAGCTAGCGTCGAACACCTCCCCGAGGCGGTCTGCCAAGTGGTTGAGGGCCAGGGCCAGCACTCGGGCCGGTACCCCGTCTGGCCCAGGGGCGGTGTTCTTGGAACGGATCCGTAGAACAGCCGCCCCTACCTCCGAATCCCGGACGGGCGGAACATTTTCCTCCCCGTGCTCCCCGTCGTCTCCGGCCAAGGAGGCCATCGCCGGGGGAGTGTGTTCCGCTCGTTGCGGGAAAAGGCCCTCAACCACTTCTCGCAGGAAGCTGGGCTGGAGAGTCTCCGTAAGGGGGGGCCCGACGCGCGGAGCTTTTGTCGCACCGCGCGGTAAGGGCGACCCCAGGGGTCACGATTAAGACCCTCCAGCATCTCCTGTCTTTTTTCTTCTTTGGCGCGGCTAATGGCCAGCTTCAGAGTTTTCCGCGCCCGTCGGTACTCCTCATGAAGCCGGTCCTCCTCACCGTCTCCACGGTGACGCCGCCGACTGCGCGTGTAGGACCTCCGGGCACGTGTACAGGCCGCACGGAGGTCCGCCAGCTCCTGGGACCACCAGTAGACCTCCTTCCTTGGAGGCCGACGACCTCGAACGCGGGGCATGGCCGCATCGCATACATGCGTAATCGCATCGCGAAAGCGGCCAGCCCCCACGTCGACCTCCTCGGTCGGAGCCTGAGGAGACAGCCACGAGTGAATTATGGCTGCCTCCTCTAGTAGGACCCGGTTCAGCCTGGCAACAGCCCACCGCGGAAAGCGGGATAAACGCCGCGCCACGTGACCCCTACTGGAGTCCTGGGTCCGGGAGAGCTCAAATCGGATATACAGGTGATCCGAGAGCGTCTCAACCTCTTCCAGGACACACCAGTTCCTTACTCGTGCGGCGAGGGCAGGGGTAGCGAACGAAAGGTCCACTATCGACCCCCCCTGCTGTCGCACGCACGTGTTGGCGGAGCCTCTGTTTAGAAGACAGAGGCCCACCGAGGCCGCCCACTCCTCTACGGCCTCGCCCCTGGCGTCCGTCCTGGGGGAACCCCACGCAATGGACTTTGCGTTGAAGTCCCCCAGCACAAGGACGTGCCCAGACGCTAGTCGCCGTATCGAGGTCTCCAAGCTGGTTAGGAAAACCTCGAAGTCGTTCAAACTCCGGTTGGGGGAGAAATAGACACCATATATGGTGATCCCCCCCCACTCGACGGCAACATATCCAGTGCCCTTGTCTCTTAGCGACAAGGGCGGGGAATGAGCCGTCGTGGAACCGACGACTGCCACGGAGCCGTCCCAGTCACCCATCCAGTTTGGACGGGGAGGGACAGAATAGGGCTCCGCGACTACGGCAACACCTATCGACCACTGTGCCATGGTTTGCAGGAAGAGATCCTGCGCCGCGGCACAGTGGTTCAGGTTCGTCTGGACCAGGAGGTTGGAGACTTGATCCATTACTGGATCGTCTCTACAACCTCCTCCATGGGCGACGACGTCGACGCACGAACTACATCGGAGGCAGCCTGGGTCGACTGGCTAACCCCCGACGTCTGTGCGGCAGGGTAACCTAACCTAACCTTCATAATAGGAGTAAGAAAGTAACAAATTATTCCTAACTTGTCTACTTACTATTTGACCTAATGTGGAAATGTCAATGAAATGATCCATGTTAAAACCTTTTAATTCACTATTCGTCTCAGACTATCATGGTTTTATTTTACTTTTGATCAGTTCACAGAAGTGACAGGAGACAATGGTTACAGAGGAGAATGGATAAATGGGTATGATCGATACAAACACCACGAACAACGAAAAATTAAAGTAGTACCTGGTTAGTAAAACAAAAAACACAATACAGAAGGTTGCAACACACACAATAACGGTTACCTTATATTAAAAGGTAATTGTACACTAATCTTTTTGATAAACGAATTGTTAAACAATAAACAGGTTACTATATAGTACTTAAGCTTTTGGAATTACCTTGTGCCGCAGCCGAGTCAAATGTCGAGGTCAATAGGCGACCTTAAAAAGACAATATCATTTTAATAAGAGAATTGTAAGTTCTCAAAAAGTTGAGTAAAATAATATTGAGGTTTATCAGCGATTTTGAAGGCCAGTTCCTATCCCAACAGTTTGTGATTTGCGGAATCCCTTACTCTAGTTCTCGTGCCTTATCTATTTCCCTTGCTTCAACTTGCTTCTTAGTTTTATCTGTAAGTAAACGATTCGATTCCCAAGGAGGTATAGCGTCGGGCAGACATGGTCATAACAAACCAAAATCCTTTGCAATGTTACACAATTGCGACAATTCAAAGTAAAAGTGGGTAATAGGCGGGAAGAAAATAATGGTTTACGATTTTGTTGTCTATATACAAGTTAGAATTATTTAAATAGTTTCGAAACAAATCCAAAACGATTAATTGATAAGCTTTTCTTTTTAAACCGATGTCACATTATTCATAACTCATCTTTTGTTATTTACTTTTTGAGTGCATACAATAAAGACATATTTAAATAAATATTATGTAAATTATATGTAGGTATAAGACATCAATCATTTCTGCAAAGATTAGTAATATTGTCATTATATAGTACAAGGTCATCATTGAGAATGATGAGATAAACAAAGCGGTAGGCATGGACTGGTTTACTAAAAAATAAAAGTGTGTGTGTGTGTGTGTGTGTGTGCAATTAACATACGTCAGAAGTGAAACTGCCGAAAAAATATGTATATCTCAGAAAATCCCTATAAAATTTTGCCCGGCCCGGGAATAGCACACACAATCGCAGGCAGCGTTTTTCAAATTCCACGCGAACGTAGTCGCGGCTACCAGCTAGTATTAAATAAAAATATAAAAATGTTTACACTGTCAAAATATTATATTAAAAATAATGAGTAAGGTATTCTATCTCATTCTCTAAAAAAATCTAATCTAATCTAAATCCTATACATTTATGTGTCTGTTTCTTTATCATTTCATCGAGTTTTAAATCACAATGATTCTTTCACTTCAAAAGATAGAGAGTATTGGAGAAAATTGGAGGGGGCCTTTACTCGTTGAGAGGTATTTAATCAAGAAATATTTAGTAAAATAATTTTAATATATTTGTAATAAACTTAATGATAATCTCAACAATAATCTAACATAAATTTTAATATAATATTTTTAGTTTGAATCACTTATTGTTAAAAAGTATAATATAATTGTATATTTTTTATAAATTAAAAAATGTTGTTTTAAGAAAGTATTAAGGAAATAAAGAAGGTATAATAATAATAGAATAAGGTGTAATGACTTCGTCTTGAAAATTTTTCTAAAAATGATTTTCCAATTTAATGTAGATAACGAATTCATCAGAACGTTTTTATAGGTGGCGTTGGACGTTTGTTACGTCAATTAGTGTGATATATAGATTAAGTGATATATTGGTCATTCTATTACTTTTTTCGCAAGAGAACAAATATGTGTATAAATATTGAATTGAGTCAATGAATAATCACATTATCTAAGATTCTGTAGAAATGTTTTGGAGTGATTCTAAGCAAACTACTTGCGCTGCGTTGCTTCAACCTATTTTTGACAGGCGAGGCTGTTGTAGCCTGTGTGTATCCGTCTGATCCGATGAACGTCGATAGGTTCAAGATTGCTCGAAAGGGCTTTTGACAGACGCGGTACCAGTCGCCGGCGTGGCCTGTCTATTGTTAGGGATGGAAATGCAAGTTTACAGCATTAGGATATGTGGTGGTGCAGGTTGTTACTGTATGTGTAGGTCGGCAAGCCTGACTGGCTTGTAGGCAGGGGCTCTTTAGGAAATATAGCGGCCACTCCGGTTTGATAAATGTATGTGTATTTGAATACAAATTAGAACTGTGTAACCTCGTGCCTGCTCGTATTGAAAGATATATAATTAAATTTGTAAAACGTATTAAAGTGTTTGTTTCTAAGAAATTATTTCATAACCTTAAAAAACACGTTATAACACAACATTTACAAAGTTATAACATAATATGCATAAGTAAAAATATGTGGGCTGCTTTTATTACTGATGTGTATGTAAGTTTTAAGTTTTCAATTACCAAAAATGTCTCAGATTAGGCGGAAATTGAATTGCAATTTGGGAGATTTATAGAATACTAGCACAGTACCCTGCCACGATTCGCTGTGGCAAATCGTGGTTGCATTGATGAACAATGAGGACCAAAAGTGAAGTGAAAAGTAAATAAAAACCATTTTTGAAGCGTGTTGTATTTATATCGTGTCACAATTTGAGATCGATCGGTGGAGAACTTTATGAGTCTTTTAAGCGTACACAAACCAACATAACATTTTTATGTATTTAGATAGGCAACTTACACTACATTGGGAATTAATTTAAGTAATACAACGCGTGACTACATAAAATAGTATTTTTTTACGGAAACAAATCCACATACGTCCACTAGAGAAGCCAAGGTGATATGTGAGACGGCGGACATCCGCGAATAGCGACCAGAATTGTTTATCACGATCTCTCAATTGTATTTCTATGAGCAAGGATAGTATTACCATCTTTGGTTTAGCAGTAATGTGTCAGTCACAACCATAAAGAGTTTACTCCTTAAACTATGATATGATAACTATGTCAGATAGAATAGAGTAGATAATTATGAATTGTCATAGCAATGTTATATATGAAAATATATTATGAAATATAACAATATGTTCAATATTATGCCTGATGTGTCGTAGTAATTTTTATAAATATTTAAAAAAAAATATCTAAACTACTACTAAATTTTTTTTACTCCAAATTAAACTAATTTTGTTTAGTAAGATAAACTTGATGCCTGAGTACCACAAAATTTATTATTTTAGCGACATTAAAAACAGTGAGTAGACACTTAAACGCTATGATATAATATTATAGATATAAAACGTCATTAAGCCATGACAATATTTACGTGATTCTTGGGTCACATTTCAGTATTTATTGTTTCAATTTCAGTATTTCAGTTGGCGTTTTAAAATGTTAACTCCTACTGAGTATAATAGAAGTTTTGAGCAATCTCATATACCTAATTCAGCCGTCACAATAGCATATTAAAGATGCAGTTTAAAAGATTGTACATTCAAACACATTTCATAATTGAGAAGTGTTTCTCAACTCTAATGGCGTATGAAGTGGTTAATACTAATTATCGCAGGCCACATGGAACACATGCGGCCTAATATGTGGTTTCGTAATAAATGCTCAATGGATTCAAAATCTTTCGGTGATGTAGGTCATGTGTTAAGATGAAATTATAATGTGTGGTGTGTGTTGGTAATTTAATTTGTGATGACACTTATCATGGGATACATATTTTGAATATTTAACGGTATATGCTTAACAGATTATTGGTCATTCTCTTTTTGACTAGTTGGCGTTGTGTGAATGTGGTACAATATTATTATTATAGGCACTTACTGTTTTGTGGGGGATGCAATTTTTTAGTCTGTAATAATTTGTAAGGTATTTTTAAGATTTTTTTACTTAATAAAAGTATTACAGGAATTATACAGAAAATATAAGGGATAAAAGAAAATATGGTTGAAGTTTTGAAGTAGATATATAAATTTTAATGATCTAGTTGAATTTATTTTCAGTGTGATAATAATTTGTCTGTTATGCCATAGACAACATGAATTTTTAAGATAGGTAGGTAATGGTGTTAATGCTAGAAACCTCTCTAAACTAAACTAAAAATTCAAAAAACGTTCTGTATTGAGTTGTTGGTTTATCTTAATTACTTACTACTCGTACATACGATATATTATGTTATGTTTACTTTAGCTTAAGTTAACAAGCAAGTTGCAAATTTATTTTAAAACATACATGTACACATAAAACTGAAAAGAGGAAAATAATGAAAAAATAAATCACATATTTCAACAATTTTGATCTACTCGTATCATTAGATCATTAAAGAACGTATCATTAGATCATCATACAAACAAAATACCATTAGGTATATAAAATGACAAAGAAGTTAAAGATCTCATTAGAATATACGAATGAGCCCAAACACGAGGTAGTTGCTGTATACCGTTGAGGAATTCCCTCGATTGGCTTCCGTCCCCGTCATCAAATCAACTACGGTCTTCGTTATAATAATAATAATAATAATCTACCACATTCACACAACGCCATCTAGTCCCAAACTAAGCAGAGCTTGTGCTATGGGTACCAGACAACTGATATAAATACATATATACTTTTTTTTTTTTGTAAATACATACATATTATACATAGAAACACCCAGACCAAATCAAACATTAAATGTTCATGCACACAAACGTTTGACTGGAGCGGGAATCGAACCCGCGACCTTTGGAATAGCAGTCCGTTACACAAACCACCACGCCATCCGGTCGTCATTATGTTCTAGTGTCATTAGAACTACACAAAAAAATAACTGCAACTATTTTACACCAAACTTTCCTTGTAATCTAATTGTAGGTAAACACCTACAACTGTGCAACAAAGTTTCTTTATATTATATTATTAATAAGACCGGTGCACAGAAGAAAACCCAGTAGGTGAATAATCGGTCCTACATTCGCCTACTCTTTGGCTTGATTTATTATTTTACAAATTTAAATGGGATCAAAGTATACCTTATTCCATAAACAATTGTAAAGTTTCATCGATTTAATCGGGTTTTCACCGATTAAATTGACTATTCTGTTATAAAAATATAGTATTTGTTATAACATTAAATTACGCATAATGAAATAAATAGATTTGTATAGAAGGACTTCATTGAGTAGACTACAAAACTATTTACAATAAGTTAGCGATAAAGACAGTGGCCGGGTGCAAGTGTGTTCGTCGCGTTAGAATCGGATGAGTCATTCGCTCACCGAGTCGGCCGCCGAACTCCGTGTTTATTTTAAACTTGTTATTAGGGCTGTTCCCCGTGTAGGCAACAAACATAATTACATTCGTACAAAGCCATTTAACAAAAGTTGAAGATGACTTGCATTCGCGGGGTTCCGAAA